GGGGCGACGACGGAAAACTTGACTTAAACAACGTGAAATTAGTCGGATTAGTGTCGGGTTGCGCAGCCGATTCGAAATCGGGCCGGAATGACCGAGCATCAGCGACGAAATTCAATCATCCTGAGATCTTTTCGACGTAAAATTTGTACTCATCAAAGAGAAACAGTCATCTCGCCATTCGTTGCGAAAGGTGTAGACTGTAAACAGCCATGCGTAATGACTCGTAGTCCGTGTAAACCATTAAGGATCTATAACCTAGCAGGTTGACCCTAAACTTTGAGGAAGCACACTTTATGATAAGTAGTTACTTAGTATGGACTAGGTGGTTGGATTTTTGTTGGTTGCAGCTGACGTGACTAATAGTAGACGACACGCTCAGCACCGTCTGCGTCAAACTACATCAGTGAGCATCAAAAGGTTAAATCACTTGCATCGAAGACCGCGTAAAATGGTGTTTATTGTTCTGAAATTGTCAAAACTGACAAGCATATCTAGCTTTACTTACACATTCGAAGGAGCGCTAAAAATCAGTACTCCACGACCAGTTTTGTTCGCTTAACACAAATGAGAGAGATGAGCAGCCATCTCGGCGTAATTATGCAAGTGTTTGTGCAAATACGCTGCCAGACCAAAGAACTTTCGAAGTCTCATTATGTCACTGGCACCGGCCAGTCAGTGATCGCCTTAACATTTTCCGAATTGGGCCGGAAACTGTGCTTACCCACAATGCATCCAAGAAGTGGTATCTCGCTAGCAACAAATACACACTTCTTGATGTTGGAAGGCAACTTGTACTCACGAAAAGGTGTAGGAACCTTTTGGATGTGAAGTCGGTCGACTTCCATATCTGTCCGTCATCTCAGCTCTCGACGAACAAGTCACAAAAAACTAAATTCGATTCTCACACCGATCGCAACCGATATGTAATACATATGTTAATCGGTGCAGAGGCGTTACCCAATACTGGTGGCATCACTAGCTACTACCAGAGCATAACACTAGAGGCGCTCACTGCTGTGTACGGGATGTCCCGTCCACGTATGAGGATATGGTAGAACCCGTTTATCAGATCGATGCACGAATTGACAGTACTCTTTGTCCTACCAGCTATAATTACGTACTTTCTCGGCATCGGTGTCTGAGCCGGTAACGTTGCAGCATTCCGCTTGTTAGATGTGTGCGCTATTCACCATAATCATGTGGCAATTTAGGCAAAGAAGGTCGGAGAGCTGTGTGGGGATGTTGTTTCCTTCGTATGGCTCGCCGCCAAGCAATCATCAAAGAATTCGTCGATTGTTATGACCTGTTCGCGAGGCAATGGCCAAAGCTTCATGACACAGTACTTTAAACGTCGCTTCAGGTCCGATCTCACGACGAATACCCTATTCCTTGTGTAACTTGCACAGCACTGCTTCTGGAAACACATCTTTTAATTTTTTGAATCATCGTAGAGGACTAGTCTTAAGCGATTCTCACAACTAGGATGTAAATCCCTAAATCCGATTCTTTCTATCAAGGACACTCTCTTTCATTAATGAGCTGCATAGAATCCTTTATATCTTGGCGAATAACATTGCCGACCAAATATAGGTTACATACTCGTCTTTTGCGACGATTACGAAAAAATGATTGACGTTGGACCCACGCCTCGGACCTTGCTGAACAGCTTGACAATAATTGTTACCTGCGAAACGGGGTACCGCGTTGGGGGAACTGCCTTCCTATACATAATGCTCTATCCATCTTCGAAAATTTATTGCGTGCTTGCAATTTCCTGTAGTTGATAGCACGAGAACTCTCGCTACCCGCGTGACAGAGGTTCCATTAAACTGGGCCTAAATTTCTGTCGTCTTGACGCACGATAGTAATTGAAACTCGCGTAAACCTGTTTCACGCTGAAGTCCTCCTGTTCCGTAATCTTTATGGCCTCTTCCAAGGTGTTAAATTCAAACCGGAACAGGCAGGTTTAATGAGACCATCATCAGAGCCTGCATGAACAAAGTAATCAACGTTTGTTGGTTCATTGGATCGACTGTTATTCAACTGGTAAGGTGAAGTATGTACTGATATACGAGTGTGCGTCACGTTTGGCTTGCTTAATTTTTTACGAATTTAAAGCAAGCCCCAAACTCCAGCTCGCGGTGGCTCAAATGTTTTTCTAGGAAGGGACTTAAAGACTATGAACGAACCACAGACATATGGATCGACAACTTGAATCTTAAGGCCCATGTCTTTACACGCCCTGCCAAGTTCAATTGAGCAAATGCGATCTGCACTTGCTTATCGACGATGTGGCGAAACTATATGGCATCCTACGGTTCCACGAACCATATCAACACAGAGTCTTTATTGACTCTATTATATGTTAAGATACAAATCTATAGAGCCTCGGGTAGAAGTTTGTACTTCGACCCGGTAGCAGTGGCCAGCTGCTGTCTCAATAATTCGAACTGTTAAGCACGACATTCTCTAAACAGCTCTTTGTGTTGACAACCTTGTTGATAAAGCTAGGTTGTTTTATCCAGCTCGAAGAAAGTTCACTTTTAATAAACTTGGCGATGATGGCGTTCTGTCCGTCTGGCCCTAGGAAGGACAGCATTGCGCCAACGGCTTCTTGCCCTAACGTCCAGCTCAAACGCTCGACGGCATCCCATTCAATTTGAATTAAATGGGAGAAGATTTAATGCGTGATATTTAGTTTATCCCCCTTTTCGTTTAACATGTTCATGTTCGTTAAAAATACTACAAAATGCTTCCAGGTGTAACGGGGCACACCTTATTTAGCTAACCGAAATACTTTGCACTACCGACAGTGCAAGGGGGTGTGCGTCCGACTACCTCACGTAAACATACGTGCAGAGGGAGATTGATGTACGGAGTAAGAGTACTCAGTAAAGGAAAACGTAGAGCTGTATTTAGTATAGTTGATCCTTTTAGTAAATCCATGTTTACCTTCATTGAACTATATCTAAATACAAACATGCATCGTAACTATCTACGCTCCACTCACTGCGAGCTTCTGTCGTAGCTAGCCTTTATCCGTTATTATCTCTATCCTGTATCTGCCAATGAGCAGTGTGTTGCATCTGCGAAGCAATATTATCTGTCAGGATAATTTTGTGAGTTATTGTGTTTGCCCTAACATAATAATCATACTTGATAATTACCTTTAAGAAAATATCATGTAACGGAGTGCCTCCGTTTCATAACGCACACTCACGAATAACTTCGCGATCGGGCACGCATTACCTCCAGAAACAAGCCGTGGAGATCGCCCTGGAGTATATTTTTCCACTGAATTGAGATCTGAAGAATCTACACCCACCTATTTCAGGTGGTGGACGACTTGAATATGGATTGTGCGTCGTGTATTCAAAGTGAAAGTGTAGTTACATCGTTGTGAGAGGTACTCGTTGATGTTATAAACGATCCAAAGAGACGAATATGATAAAGGTAGTGGATAACTGCTCGGGAACGCCGTCAAAAACAAACGCGATCGATGACATGTATTTGACACATCTGTAACTGAAATGTAATGGACGAAGATTCCTCTTCCATCGAGAGGAGAAGGTTCACATTCATTCTTATTATATCATTTCATAGAGAACTTTGGATGAAAATCACTTGTCATGTACTCTTTGAAGTGCGACACTTTTGCTGTCATGAAGTGTCGAATATTTGCTTTTTTCGCCATCCACCCGCACTTATCTCTTTAATCCGATCATGTGCGTCATTGGTACATGTATGTGACGAACGCTGAACGCGGTTCGTGACCTAGTTTAAGAGTGACATCAAAATGCAAATCTACCAATGAGGAGGGACATGCTGCATCGCACGTGGTGCGACGTGTACATGCACCCGTGTTATCCACACACCACAAAGACGGATAAACAGACAGACACACAGTCGCAAAGACGCACGTACGCAAAGACAGACTAACAGAAAGTAGGTTTCGAAGGCTCGGCATTCACCTTGCGTACAGTTCATCCTTCGTGCTCGCTAGTGTATCTATTGCTTATCTCGAAGTCGATAGAATCTTGTCTGATCTTGCTTCCCTCCGCGCCTCAATACTGGGGGGCTTGCAGAATGCCGCGCGTTGTCACCTTGTGTTCGCGCAACAAACCTGTGTAAATTAGAAGATCGTGGTACATAAGTGGTAATCATATCATTTGTAATTGGGGAACCCTTTTTCTGGGTGCCACGTCCCTTCACGTGCACTCGTACGTGCACAGAGATGTAATCTGCTCAAATTGCTAGTTTTAGTAAAGGCAAAAAGAAAGATGTATGTGATATAGCCAAGCTATCAATAGAACTCCTGTCTTGATCTAACTATGTTAACCTATATTGTCGTATGACGACAACCTGCACGCCATTCATTGCGCGCGTCTAGCAGCGATCGGTGGTAATCTTGGCTGATATGTGTTTTGTCAACCAAGCTTCAAAGAGCACGTGAATATTATCAAAAGAGGATAACATTCCTTCAATATTACCTATCGCAGGTCGTATTGGCAGGAGATTTCCACGCGAGAAGATCTCCCTCTTGACACCGTTTGGTGTCAACATCATGTAACGGGCGACCATGTTACATCCACCCCCTTAACCATCAATCACCCCGTGAATTGAATTAAATTGATCGGGGACATGGTGATAACCTTTGGGTCACTCCGGGAAAAGGGAGGTACTTGTTGGTCAAATTTCAACTCATTTGCCGATTCATTGCATGGTGTCAAATTCCATGTGGTGCGCTGCCGAAGCAGCCAGAAAGGCGGTTGCAAGCATGCGTGTTGCCAAAGAAAACTTCTCAAACCTCAGCAGCAGGTTATCATTCTCCTCCTGTTGCAAGTGAGCAACAGGCAGTGCCTGTTGTGAAAAGTCCGCGTGGTGAGCCGCCATGTGCGACAGATACATCCGCTGCGTCTAACGCGGGTGCAGCGACTAGAAATATTGATGAGCCTGAAATATGACTCATCTATTCTGGCGAGTCGAATGCGTGGTTCTACTCAGGGCGGCGCCTCCTGCCTCCGGGTCACCCGGGGCAAAACTGCAAGATCCAGGTTGAATGGCTCGGGGAAACGTGGCGGTATCATGTCCGAGATCTTCGGGCCGAGCGATTCGTCTGATGAATCTTCGTCTAGCCCAAGTCCACTATGACGCGAGGACGCGTGGTGATGCTGGTGCCGCACCTATACGTCACCACGAGAGGATCAACTCGAGGTATCGAGCTGCTACTGGTGTTAGAGCTCATGCTGACACCTCACAAGAGGCCAGGTACCGCAATGCCCTGCACCATGCTCCTCAAGTGGAGTTTTCTTGAATCCCATCATCCAAGGAGTTAGATCGAGTGGCCGGTATGACCACTGAAAGGGATCGAATCCCGTTGTTTGACTGTAGGATGATCTGTACTCCCAATTCCAGCACGGAACCATTCGTGTTGAGGAAGAAGTCCACACCGATGTGATATACAAACATCTGAAGTACAGTAGAAACCGTGGCCGCGACGGTAAGGCCTTGATGCAGGTATGGAAAGCCTTCATTCATGGCATTGAGTGCATTGGCCGTGAGGCCTGCCTCGGTAAACTTGGTGAAGCTTGCATCAGGTTTGAAAAATGTAATTCAGACGGTGTGAGCTACAAATTTGCACCGACTGTCAAGAGAGGCAGGTTTAGCCTGTCTCTCGTGAGGCAATCCATATCCAAGGTGCCTGGACAATGCTAATCGTGCCCCTATAGAGGCCTGACTCCCTCTTTCCTACTGGAGGGCGCGCATCTCTTCCGAGATGGCCGAAGGGATTCATACTTTGCGATCGCTGTAGTTGCGTTTGGAGAGGTCGTTTTCTGACGGCCTATCTTCAACGCAGAGGGTGGGTCTCGTCAAATTGCGCAAGGAGACCCAGAACATTAACAATCAGCTGGGCGCGATGCTCTCAGCTGCCCCAGGCCGGTGGAAAGCCGCGCCAGCAGACGAGGTAACTCGTCTGGACGCCTTTCACGTCACGGTGGTTCAAAATACCCTTCACCAGAAAGCGTTGACCACCGCCAGAATCCACCAAAGAATGTGGTGGAGGCAGGAACACCTGATCCGGCTCGAGGGTTGGATAAGCTCGATGTCCAAAAATTGAACCGCGTGACGGATCAGATACACGAAGACTTGGCTCGTGATCGGGCCCGCCGTTATGAGCTTCATGGCATTGTAAAGGACAATTACAAATCCTTAGCGTACGATCGTTCGAACGATTGTGCCATGTTTGCGCTTGCGCAGCTTGAGAACAAAAGTTCCATTTGATCCCTTCGTGACGAGCTGACTGCAGCTCATCAGGACATCGCTCAGCTGCGTGAGTAGGTCGCTTTGCTTTATCGAAAAGATTGGCTTGAAACGGGACCACTCGAAGGTGGTCTTGGCCCTTGATCGTGGAGGTGCTCTTCGCCTCTCGAAACTGCTCGTACTGATAGTACGTGCGGAGACTCCTTACGTAATACGTAGGGTGCGTACGCATCCTACGAGGCAGTTCAATTGTGTATTCGTTGCCCTTGCGGTGTAATACACGAAATAGATCGATGTACTTGGGCATTAGTTTGCTGCTGCCCACGTTTTTTACTGGGTGTCTTGGTAGATTTACTGTTGACATTGAAACTAAGTCTCCGGCATTGAATGAAAGAGCGTTAGCTCTTTCATGTTTTTCTGCGTTTCTTTTCTGCTTACCTATTGCATCTGCAATAGAGTCTTGAACGAGGCAGACAACCGCTTCATGAGTCAGCAGAAATCCCACTGCTGACTCGTCCTTGTTAACAGCAGTGTTGCTTCGTGTACACTGCTTAAAGAAAGTTGTCTTCACCAGTGAGGGCGTCATCATACTCACTGTAGCATTCGTTGCGATGCTGAATATACCATCTTTGCCGTCATCATCATTGTCAATGTCGATGTGATCGACATCGGCATCCATCACGTCGACATCGTTGTCAACGTGTGATGAGCAAGAACCAGATCGGTTTTTGTTCATGAGCTCCCCCCCTTAAACTAGAGTCACACTATAAGAAGGCGGGTAAACATGAATGGCGTTAGCCATTCACGAAGAACGGTGTATGCGTTGTCGACACTTCCACCGAGTTGTTGATGGCGAATTCCGCCATCGGCAAGAAATCAATCCAACTCGCAAACGAGTAGACGTACCCTCGAAGTATATATATCTGAGGAAGCGGTTAACACGTTCCATTTTCTCATTGTTTCAGGATGGTCAGAAGCCGACATTCATAATCGTGTTCCAAGTGAAAAGAACACGGATTGCCAGAACTCCGCTGTGAAGTGGGTGTCCCTGTAAGACACGAGTTCATGGGGTAGCCCGTGAAGTCGGAAGATAGTATCAATAAAGACACGAGCACATCCCTGGGCTGTGATTGACTCCGGTACAGCCACAAGATGTACCATCTTGCTGAACCGATCAACAAACATAAGAATCCCCGTATTCTTGTGGACGTCTTTGGGAAACCCAAAGACGAACTCTATCGATACAGACTGCCAGTACTCTGCCGGAATCGGAAGAGGCTGCAAGAGTACGCAAAATGAAGGACTAGGCTTTACCCGTTAGCAAACTTCGCAAGCGCGAATGTATTTCCGCACAAACTCATACTAGGGAGGCCAGTAGAAGTCACGACTCACCATGAGGTAAGTCTTTTTTACTGCGATGCCCACTTTTCGGGGCATTGTGACACTCATACACGATGCGTAATCGCAAATCATTATGAGCCGCAACGACGACACGAGGTGTGTCACCGTTGACTGCTGTATAGTAAAGCAGTCCATCATGAATAAAATATCGTTCGGTTGAAAGCGGTATTAAGACGTCAAGATTTTCAAAGCTTGACTGCATGGATTGGATACATAATCCATCAACCGCAGAAGAGACTCATCTTCTGCGTATGCTTTACGCACGTCGTCGAGCATATTCGACGACGGAACACTCAATTTTAGTGTTACAACAGCGGGATCACCCCTACCGTTGGCTTGAGCAGTCAGCTCGAAATCGGGCCGATGCGAAAGAGCGTCAGCGACGACATTTAGTCGTCCTGATTTATACTATAAGGAGAAGTTGTACTCCACGAAGAAAGACAGACACCTCGCCATTCGTTGCAAGAGATATGGACTGTTTACGACTGTGCTCAATGACGCATGGTCGATATAAATGATGGAGGGCCTATCTCCTAAGAGATTTACCCGAAACTTAGCCAGTGCACATTTCATTGCAAGGAGTTCCTTATCATGCACTGCTTAGTTACGCTCAGCTGCTTGCAGCTGACGCGATTGATAACAGTCGAAGCGCTCAACGTCGTCTGATTCATACTGCATTAACGCGCAGCCGACCGCAAAATCGCTGGCGTCACAGACCACATGGAATGGCCTGTCCTGGTCTGCAATCGCCAACACAGGAATTGTATCAAGCTTTTCTTGATACCTTCGAAGGAGTGCTGACACTTATTACTCTATGACCACCTCTCGTTTTTCTTTAGCAGACAAGATAGGTGTACGGCCATCTTGACGTAGTTGCGCGAGTACTTGTGCAAGTACGCCGCTAAACCAAGGAGCTTTTGAAGTACCTTGACGTCGACTGGCACAGCCCATTCGCTATTTGCCTTGATCTTTTGGATCAGGACGTACGCCGTTTTTACGTAAGATGCAGCCAAGAAGTGGCATTTCGCTCGCTGAGAATATGCACTTCTTGAGGTTGGCAAACAACTTATGCTCATGCATATTTGTAAGAACCTTCCGGACGTGGATCATATGAACATCCACGTATGCCCTTCCATGTATTGACCGGCTATGGGCGAAGGCATCGTCAAAGTAACTCGGTGCTAAGTCTCGCACCGATCGCAACAGATTCGCAATACTTGTGTTGAGCTTTGCAGGGGAGTTACTTAGCCCTTGTGGCATGACTAGCCACTCCCATAGCATATCACTTGATGCGGTCTCTACTGTGTACGGGGTGTCCTTTCCACTCATGAGGATCTGATAAAACCCATCATCAGATCCATGAACGAAATGATGACATTTTCTGCCATGCCATCTATAATTTCGTCCTTCCTCGGTGTAGTCGTCTGAGCCTGTACCGTTGTAGCGATCAATTTGCTGAACGCATGTGCTATACAATACCCTTCTATTGCTTCTTGCACACAAAAACCATGGATACGTGGAGGGATGCTGATTCCCTCACATGGCCCGCCGCCAAGCGATCGTCAAAGAATTTGTCGATTATATTGACCTGTTCACGAGTCAGTGGCCACTGATTTGTGATATAGTGCTTCGAACCGGGTTTCAGTTCGATCTCATGTCGAGTGCCTTTGTCCTTCGGCAACTCTCACGGCACAGATTCGGGAAAAACATCTCTGATTCGATCAAATCCTAATGCAAAGGATTTTCTTCAAAGACTCTCAATATTAAGACGTGTATCGCTCAATCCAGATCTTCTCATCGTATATCGATGAGCTACTGAGAAACCGTTCGTTCACAGTAAACACTTGTTCCGACCGAATATCGGCGACGTACTCTTCCTCTAAGATGAGTAAGCAGATGTGTTTGATCTTTTCACTACGCAGATCTCGCAAGAATTTTTTAAGTTTTAGCGTTGGCAACTTGATTACCTCCGAAGCTGAATTCGGGGTCGTAACCAGATCAAGTGTATAAGCGCCTACACTTGATCCGTCATTCACAAAGACATTCACTGTCTCGGTATTTTTCTGGAAAACACATCCACAGGTGGTTGGGAAACACACCCTCAACACAGCTCTCTCCGAAGTTATCACTCTCATGAACGCTGGAACTTTCTTCCGATACGTGTTCTGGCTGTGGGAGCACTACCACAGTCACGGCCTCTTCGATCGACTCTCTTTCAGTCGATCGTGTTTGCTTTACGATCGACTCTCTGTTAGTCGATCTCGTTTCAACATGGTGTTCATCCTGAATAAAAGTCATAGCTCTTCTTTGATGCACCCTGCTTGGTGTGCATCCGTGTTTCAGTCCACCCGATCTCTTCGAGTGGTGAACCTTCAGCACATCCTGTGTCTCTACACAGGTGCCGGAAGATGGTTCCACAGTGTAGTGGCCTTCTACACTGTGATCTTTTGCAGTCGTGCTAACGACCGTACCACAAGTACACAAGTAGGCCATCGCAACCGTTCGTAGTACATTTTCACGTTTGTGGACGCTCCAAGACGTTCATCAGATGGCCATGTGCTGAACAAACGGCAGGCATCTTCACGGATCGATGCTGCCAGCTGATCCATGGCTCGTATCTTCTGAGCCATAACAGGCTGAGTATGACATCAAATTTGTCATCCAAATCTAGTACGATGAAGTCATCATCGTACTGCTCTCCTTCTAGCGTGTAGTGGATTCCCACTACAAGCTTATTCACTGTTACGAGTGCGCTTGTTGCAAGTCACACCGTCATCCTCGTTGGAGATAACTTTCGTCTGAAATAGTTGAGCCTACTATCCTCCAGTAACTGGCGTAGAATAAAATTGATCAACGCCCCACAGTCAAATAAGGCGCAAAATGACATTCCACTTGTCACTTCGATCTTCAAAGTGATGAGAGACTCCTCATCTCTAGGGTTAGTAACACAAAGTGACTGTTCGGTTAAATCAATCCAGTGTCAAGAGTTCTGCAAATTATCTTGACGTTGCTGGGTCAGCAGGGTTATTTGTTGAGTAATTTGCCCCAGCAGCGAGTCCACCAATTGAGCCCATGTCTGAGGCAACCGACGATGCTACCGACGTTCCATTTGTGCTCTCCCCAACCTTTTCCATCCATGCATGATAGTGCCGAACGATTTTAGCATGGTCCAGCAGCGCTATGATTTTCACCTCACACAAAAACTTCTGCAAAGTCTTCGACGTCTGGTTCTTCAAGTTAAGACCAACCCGTTTGATCGCATACTTTCGTCCATCCAAGCGATTCTCGGCGAGTGTAACTTGACCAAAGTCACCTTTGCCAATTGCTGACATCTCTTCAAACTCGTTCACGAAAGGACTTTGGAAGACAAACGGGAAAAGAACTTCTGCCTCATTCGAGGAAGCCTCGGATTCACACGAGGATGATTGCAATGATCTTCGAACACTGGACTGGTCCACGCTTAGCTTTTCATCCATACCAGTTTGATTGCCTCGCACACATCGCGTACCACCACCTCCACTCGACTGATGACTGCTGTCACTGTTGCTGTTGCTGCAATAGCTTCCCGATGTAGATTCTCCGAATGAGCTTATCGACTTTGGGCCGCTCATGACTCTTGCAGAGTCGGTACTTGCCTAAAACGTGTCATTCTTTGAATACATTGGCTTGGAGCAGCCGTTCCAAAGCATTATAACACGTGATCGGTGGTGAAGGGCACATGTATAGCGATTGGTGGTGATGAAATTTCGACTTGAAGGCTCAGCAGCACGCACGGAGCATTAGAATAATAGCGCATCCACGCGACGCGCACCAAACAACTTATGATCGCAAAAAGGTTTATAGGCTATCGCACTGTCGACAAAGGCTGCTGTCGTCGTTGGTGGTCGCCCTGTTGCTGCTGCAAGTGCGGAAGATAGTAATGTACGGGGGTAACAATAGTAACCTTATTAAAGAGTGACAAGTCGAATGCATATCCACCTACGAAGCGGGGACATGTTACATCGCACCATTAAAAGTAGGGCGTGCAAATACGCCTAGCGCTACTTTTATACGCAAAGACACATAGACAGACAGTTGGTCTCAAATACTCGGCATTCACCTTTTCCATGATCACGATTAGCGTCATTTATACCTTCGGGCTCGCGATGAATAATTTGGATATCACCTGACGCGTAACGGTACACACCTTATTTGTAACGATGTAGTCCGTTACATGATGTTGACACCAAATGGTGTCAATAAGGAGATTGTCTCGCGTGGCGATCTTCTGCCAATACGACCTGCGATAGGTAATATTGAAGGAATGTTATCCTCTTTTGATAATATTCACGTGCTCTTTGAAGCTTGGTTGACAAAATACATATCAGCCAAGATTACTACCAATCGCTGCTGAAGCGCGCAATGGATGGCGAGCAGGTTGTCGTCATACGACAATATAGGCTAATATAGTTAGATCAAGACAGGAGTTCTATTGATAGCTTGGCTATATCACATACATCTTTCTTTTTGCCTTTACTAAAACTAGCAATTTGAGCAGATTACATCTCTGTGCACGTACAAGTGTACGTGAAGGGACGTGGCACCCAGAAAAAGGGGTGCAACGTTTTTGTGCTAACTAATTAAACCTTGCGCTGATGAGAGTGCAAGGGTATGTACGTCGATTACCTTACGTACACGTACGTGCAGAGGAAGATTGCTGTACGGAGTAAGAGTACTCAGTATAGAAAAAGTAGAGTTGTATTTAGTATAGTTGATCCTTTAAATAAATCCATTTTAACTTAATTGAACTATGTCTAAATACATACATGCATTTTAACTAGCCACGCTCCACTCATTGCGTGCTTCTGTCGTGGCTAGCCTATATTGGTATTTGACACATCTGTAACTGAAATGTAATGGACGAAGATTCCTCTTCCATCGAGAGGAGAAGGTTCACATTCATTCTTATTATATCATTTCATAGAGAACTTTGGATGAAAATCACTTGTCATGTACTCTTTGAAGTGCGACACTTTTGCTGTCATGAAGTGTCGAATATTTGCTTTTTTCGCCATCCACCCGCACTTATCTCTTTAATCCGATCATGTGCGTCATTGGTACATGTATGTGACGAACACTGAACGCGGTTCGTGACCTAGTTTAAGAGTGACATCAAAATGCAAATCTACCAATGAGGAGGGACATGCTGCATCGCACGTGGTGCGACGTGTACATGCACCCGTGTTATCCACACACCACAAAGACGGATAAACAGACAGACACACAGTCGCAAAGACGCACGTACGCAAAGACAGACTAACAGAAAGTAGGTTTCGAAGGCTCGGCATTCACCTTGCGTACAGTTCATCCTTCGTGCTCGCTAGTGTATCTATTGCTTATCTCGAAGTCGATAGAATCTTGTCTGATCTTGCTTCCCTCCGCGCCTCAATACTGGGGGGCTTGCAGAATGCCGCGCGTTGTCACCTGGTGTTTGCACAACAAACCTGTGTAAATTAGAAGATCGTGGTACATACGTGACAGTCATGTCACTTTGACAATCGCTTTACTGACAATACCCTCGTGGTTGCACTTGCATTTGTTTTGTTGAGATGAGGCGAAACGGAAATCACAGGATCAATCGCGATGGTCACGATACCAGTCACTAGAACCGTGTCAAGAGCTCTCAAAGGTCTTCGCATCATCACTGACTGATCGTGGTCCGCAAAAGATGCGTGCGGTTGTATCGGTACCGATCGAATCGTTACCGAGTGCGTCAGTTGTTGAACAGCTTTGTAAATGCATCCAGCTTTTTGACAGAGCTTCCGCCAATCGGTCAAAGGTCTCATTACGAAGCCCCTTGCCTATATCTTCGTGTGCCGCCACGTGCGGACGATGGTGTACTATGGTGTACACATATCGTCAGCGAGGCGCCGAAGAAGGTACAAGCACGTTTTCATCCATGAAATTTGCTCCTTTCGAGGGAGATCATGGTCACGTGTGTGTCGGTCAAGGCCAACACAAGAGTGCTAAACAGTCCATTCAAGCTTGCTTGATCAGAATAGAGTGTGAATGGGTGCGTGATCATGTAGTTGCAACGACGGATTTGCTGAAAAGACAGACTACTGCTAATGCACTACTACGTGCTGTTCTTGCACAACGCAGGCACATCGATCGAGCGAAGACGAAGGATGGTTTGCGAGTGCGAAATGCGAGTGAAATGACTCTCATTTCTACAGCTTTGGGAATCTCTGGAAGCTGCTTGTGCTCATCAGCCGTCACCAACCCTTGGTCTGTCATGCAAATCGCATGTTGGTTCACTTCAGCACATCGTCATCGGTGGACGAGCCATAGCTACTGTAGTGATTCATGGCGGAATGTGTGGTACATCTGTTTGTACCGGAAGAAAGAAGTAGCGGAGAGGTCACACACGCAAATCTTGATGTGCTACGCCATGTGCTTGGTAGCTTCTTGACACAGTACTGGAGCAGGCAGGACGATGAACACGATCCACCTTTCGGTTGCATTTGAATGTCACTCTATCTAGGACGTCGCCTGCCATAGCTGCTGCAGCATGACACCCCACCGAGCATAATGCTGCCATTGTCATGAACTTGCGCATACACAACAACACAAGTCAACGTTTCCCGTCATGGACATTTGTCCCTACATGCACGAATGCTGAATGTGTAGCTCGTGCTTTGCAGTTGCACCTTTTTGCGTGCGACCTGAGAAGCTTTCTGCTCACAGAAAGTATGTACTCGTACGAATGGGGACAACCGACGCAGCCAAATCTTGCTATCACCATGTAATCGGAAGCAGCATCACTCTGCATCGGATGGCCACCTATCTATCCATGACGCTACTTGGTAAATCCTGAATGTCGATTAAGTGCTCATGGCCTATACGATATCGGTGTGCTGCTGCCTAAACTACATCATCTTCTCCTTGCTGGCTTAGTCTGCTTGGCTTGGCCTTCGGTCATCACGGGGGACACTTCGCAGAGGGCACGTGGAATCGGATATCCAGTCCGGGGTGCAGACAGGGCGCTGAAGTCGCAGGAAACGCCGGGGACCAGCCCGATTTTTTACCCCCGATGGGCCGCGGACGTACCTGGACTAGACCGATCTTGATCACGTTCTCGGCAAGTTCGCTTCGTTAAACTCAAGAGTCAAGCTCGGCGTCCGGGCCAACAACTCGAAGGCTGAAGCAAAATAGTAGGTGTAGGTGAAGGGATTGACAATTGCTGTTGCCGCACCCTTCACCTCGTCCCCTTTGGGTTTACTCGCTGTGGTGCCTTCTATAGCGCACGCAGCGGCAAGACGGCCTCCCCCCTAATATCGGGGCTCCAGATAGGGGAAATCGCATACAACATGGTGGTCGCCTGAACAATCTGTGGTACGGTTAGACTATCCATTAGCCTTATTTAATACTTGCCAACAAGGGTAAGAATAAGGCCACTTTAGAATGAACTTCAATAGAAACGATTCTAAGATAGGCAGGACCCTCTGCTTTCAAATGGACTGCGTCCCTAATTTTTGGGTAGCTTGCTCAGGCCACTCTATGTCCTTACCTCCCCGTCCTCGCAGGCAACCCCCGTGATACGATCTCTTGATTGCGGCAGTTCAAGCGTATGTGAACGCGTCTTGTGCGCTCTCCTTTTGTGTAGAAGGTAAACAAGGTCTAGGTGTTCGAGTTCCAAAGGTGTCTGTCCTTGTTTCCTGCATCCTCTCGTCGACATTTGCTTAACACTGGACAAGGATCGGGCGGTTATGTGGATGAAGAACCTGATTTGCACTTTATGATATGGATGATGCTTCAGACTAGACAAGGATCGCGCGGGCGGTTATGTGGATGAAGAACCTGATTTGCGCTTTTGACATGGATGAAGGAATAATTTGGCGACCAAGCATGTAACTGACTCACTGAGTTTGCGGCTCATCCGGTGATTTATTACGGCACGTCATTCAATCGACACAGTATCGCGTCGTATCATTCAGTAAATCATTGATCAGTAGACGTGTAACGGGGCACCCTGAAGCTTGTACTGGTGACAGTACAAGCTACTTATTCTGATAACAGAATAAGGCGGTGCCTCGTAACTTCACGTACACTCGTACGTGCAGAGGAAGACGGTAAGAAGAAGCGAGTACTTGGTTAGAGTAAAAAGTAGAACTGTATTTATAATAGTTAATGTCTGCAATAAATCACTATTTATCTTCATCTAACTATGTCTAAATACAAATGTGTAAATCAGTTATCTGCTCACCACTCATTGCGTGCGTCTGTCGTGGCGCGTCTTCGTTGGTTGATATAATGGCCTATATCAACCAATTAGGAACTACTTGGAAGTGCTACAGAATATTGTCCTTATGACAATATTCTGAGAATATAACTCTTATAGTTATATTCTATTAACAATTTCTTATAAATTGTTATGTAACGATTCACCCCGTTACATCACCCCCCCTTAACCATCAGTCACTTTAGTGACTGATTGACTAAATGGATACTCGTCCCAAATCATTTGGGACGGGGTTTGCACTTGTTGGTCCGCGTCCACTTTCCAACATCTCATCGCATGGTAAACAAGCCCATGCGATGCGCGAGCAAGGCCGCCGAGAGCGCGTCTGCACGTCTCTGTGCGGACGCCGAAGCAGAAACTACAGCAACTGATGTCCCATCGGTTGCTGAATCGACTCAGCCTGTATCACCTGGTGATGCAGGCGCTGGTCATGAAGACACTCGTGTCTTCACAGAGTACGAGCTCGGTGTCTCGTACTCTCCTGATACGGATGACGGATCCGTATCGACGGCAATTGAATCCAAGCCGCCTGCCAAGCGTGGCATGGACGATGCTTTGCGTCGCAGCATCTTTGGTTCATCTGATGAGTCAGATGAACCATCGCCGAAGCGAAGGCGCTCGAGGTCGCGAGACTCGGGCGCTAATAGTGGTGTCGTTTCTCCAATGGACACCACTTCACAGCGAGGTGCCAGTACTTCTGTCGGCACGTCGCAGGAAGAGCGGGACCGCAATGTGTTGCGTCTCGCTCCAGAAAAGAAGGCATGGATGCCTCCTAAATCTGTCATGGATCACTTGTCGGCGACGACGAGTGATCGTTATCGAACACGATTGTCCGATTCGTCGAGGATTCATCACCTTGACCCCAGCGCGAAAGACTATCGCGCTGAACATGAGTTCTTCATCGATGCTTTCTTCAGACATCGATGGTACAGTGGGAATCACAAACGTGATGGTCCCTCACTACTTCAGGCGTGGAACGCCTACATCCATAATCTCGAGGATGTAGGTCGTGACGCTTGGAACGACAAACTTATCAAAGCTCGTGATAAGTTTGAAAAAGCGAACCCCGACAGGTGCACGCTATAAGCTGCATCGTCTGTCAAGGAGAGAAAGGATTACCCTGCCTCTCTTGGGGAGACTCGTGCCCATGTTGTGTGAACAACTCTGCACGAGCACCTAAGGAGGCTTACCTCCTTACCAGCCCGTGGTGGCGCGTACGTGTCTCTACTGAGATGTACGAAGGGATTGACAACCTGAAATCCCTTTACGACCGTGCCGGGAAGACTTTCTCCGGCGGTCCTTCTGCGGCACAGGATGTGTCGCGTCGTACTGCTCGACCAGACCCAGTACGTCAACCATCAATTGGGAGCGGGGCTCCCAAGAATCCCAGGACGGGGGATAGCCGCGCCACCGGACGAGGTAACTCGTCCGACGTCCGTTCACGTCGCGGTGGTTCAACAGCTGCTCTACTAGATAGCGCTGGCCACCGCGAGAGTCCTCTAATGGAGGTGGAGGAGGAGGAAAGACGCTCTCCACACGATCATGTGGATCGGTGTGTTCCCGAGAGCTTCTTTGATCGCGTAACGCAAGGGTTACGCGACAATCTCGAGCATGAGCGGAATAGGCGTCTCCAGATGGTGGACACTGCCTCGAAGCATCGAGCTGAGTTTGCCTTTGCTCAGCTTGAGAACGAGAGATCTCTGACATCTCTTCGTGACGAGCTAAGGGTAGCTCGTGGGATTGTTGATCGGTCTCGGGCTGAGATAACTGCTCTTCAGACCCTTGTTGATGCCCACCATCGGGAGCACAAGGCTCTCTGCGAGATGCTTGAGCGCAAGGGCGTTCTTCATCGGAAGAAGCAGCGTACTGATGGTACGGCTTAAGCCGACCAACGTAAAACGTGGGATGCGTTCGCATCTTACGTGGTAACTCGATCGTGTATGCATTGCCTAGGCGGTGCAATACACGAAATGGAGCCAATGTACTTGGGTAGTAGTTTACTGCTACCCAAGTTAGTCACTACATGTTTTGGTAGATTAACCGTAGACAGTAGGACTAAGTCACCTTTATTAAATAAAAGAGTGTTTGCCCTTCCATTCTTGTCAGCGTTTTGCTTTTGCTTATCCACCGCTTCGGCGATGGAGTCTTGCACAAAACGGACTACCGTTTCACGAGCCAGTATGAACTCATCTGATGACTCGTTAGCTTCAGTGTGCTGTGAGCGCACTGCAGCGACAACAACCTTTTCTTCAGTGAGGGCTTCCGCACTCTCACTGGGATCATTGTCTTCAGTGAGGGCTTCCGCACTCTCTACTGGCATCATCTTCTTCGATATCGATGTTATCGATATCGGCATCAAACGCAATGACTTCTTCGTCAGAGCGTGATGAGCGTGAACCAAATCGGTTTTTGCTCGCGCGAGTCCCTCCCCCTTAAACCAGAGTTACACTCTAGTAAGGTGGGTACACGCGGATGGCGCAAGCCATTCACGTAAAACGGTGTATGTGTCGTGGACGCATGCACCGAGTTGTTGATGGCAAACTCTACCATCGGCAAAAACTCACTCCAACTCTTAAAGGAGTGTACGTATCCTCGAAGTATCTCTTCAAGGACACGATTGGCACGTTCCGTCTGACCATCTGACTCTGGATGATCAGATGTTGACATCTTCAAGCGCGTTCCGAGTGATTTGAACACGGAACGCCAGAAATCAGCAGTGAATCGTGGATCTCTGTCTGATACGAGTTCACGGGGCAACCCATGAAGTCGGAAGATGGTGTCAATAAAGACACAAGCACAGCCACTTGCCGTGATTGTCTCTGGTACAGCCACAAGGTGTACCATTTTGCTGAATCTGTCAACAAATACGAGAATACCCGTATTCCCGCGTGCGTCTTTGGGTAACCCGAAGACGAAATCCATTGAGATGGATTCCCAGCACTCAGCCGGAACCGGTAGAGGCTGTAAAGGTGCACGCAGTGAAGGACTTGACTTCACTCGTTGGCAGACTTCGCATGCGCGAACATACTTTCGCACAAACTGATACTGGCGGGGCCAGTAAAAGTCTCGACTTACCGTGAGATATGTTTTCTCTCTCGGCCACGATGTCCTCCTATAGGAGCATTGTGATACTCGAACATGATCCGCAAACGCAGATCAGTATCATCTGGAATGACAACACGTGGTGTGTCACCAGAAACGGCTGTATAGTACAGTAAACCGTTACGAGTAGTGTATCGATCTGATGCAGATCGATACGCAGACGACAATCGTTTCAACGATTCTCGAGATGGTTGGGAGAGATGTGACAACAACTTCACTATCTCACCATCTTGGGCGTATGCCCGCCTCACATCATCATACAACGTTGTAGATGGAACTGAGGACGTCATAACCGCAACAGTGACTGTCTCACTGTTGGGTTTCGCGACTGTTTCAAAGTCGGGACGACGTGAGAGCGCATCAGCGACGACATTAAGTCGTCCTGGTTTGTACTCGACCGTAAAGTTGTATTCGGCAAGGAATGACAACCAGCGCGCCATTCGTTGTGAAAGGTGCGGGCTGTTCACTGCCGTGCGTAAGGACGCATGGTCAGTGTAAACAACGAAGGGTCTATCTCCTAATAGATAGACTCTGAACTTCGCGAGTGCATACTTCATGGCAAGGAGTTCCTTGTCATGCACTGGATAGTTCCGCTCAGCTGGTTGCAGCTGACGCGACTGATAGCAGACGACGCGTTCAACGCCTTCAAGGTCGTACTGCATTAATGCACAGCCGATTGCGAAATCGCTGGCATCACAGACCACATGAAATGGCCTGTCCTGATCGGCTATTGCTAGGACTGGGGATTGTATCAAGCAGAGCTTGATACCCTCAAAGGAGCGTTGACATTCAGCGTTCCATAACCACCTCTCGTTCTTTTTCATCAAACGAGAGAGGTGTACAGTCATCTCGGCGTAATTGCGTGAATACTTATGCAAATACGCCGCTAGCCCAAGGAATTTTCGAAGACCTTTGACATCGACCGGCACGGGCCAGTCGGTGATCGCCTTGATCTTTTCGGGATCAGGACGTACACCGTTCTTACCAACGATGCACCCAAGAAGTGGTATTTTGCTTGCTGCAAAAATACACTTCTTGAGGTTTGCATACAATCGATGCTTTCGCATGATTGTAAGAACTTGTCGGACGTGGTACTTGTGAACCTCAACGTCCGACTTTCCATCCATAGCTCGACTATGGATGAATACGTCATCGAAATAACTCGGCGCGAATTCTCGTACTGGCCTCAACAGATGTGATACACACCTGTTGAACGTGGCAGGGGCATTACTGAGCCCTTGTGGCATTACTAGCCATTCCCAGAGCATGCCGCTAGGCGTGCTAACTGCGGTATAGGGTATATCCCGTTCCGCATTAGGATTTGATAGAAGCCATCCATCAAATCCATGGACGAAAAGATGGTACTCTTTGACATACCATCAATGATTACGTCCTTCCTCGGTATCGGCGTCTGAGCCGGTACCGTTGCAGCGTTCAATTTGTTAAACGCGTGCACTATCCGCCACCCTCCTGTTGCTTTTCGCACACAGAAGGTCGGAGAGCTATGTGGGGAAGTTGATTCCCTCACATGGCCCGCAGCTAAACGATCGGCAAAGAACTTGTCGATCGCAAGTACTTGTTCACGAGGCAGTGGCCACTGCTTCATGACACAGTACTTCGAGCCTGGTTTAAGCTCAACTTCGTGTCGAATACCTTTATCCTTCGGTAATTCGCACGGAACAGTTTCAGGGAATACATCCTTGAATTCAACCAAATCTTCATAGAGAGGATTTTCCTTGAGCGATTCCCATGATTGGGACTCATATCGCTCAATTCGTGTCTTTTCATCTAGGACACTCTCGTCCATAGATGAACTACTGAGAACTCTCTCGTTCTCAGTAAACACTGTTGCTGACCTTATGTCGGTTACATACTCGTCTTCAGCGACGAGTATGCAGATCTGCTTGACTTTGCCACTACGCAGATCACGCAAGAATCTTTTATGTTCGAGCGTTGGCAACTGAGTGATCTCCGAAGTTAACTTCGGAGGCGCAATCAGATCAAGTGTATAAGCGCCTACACATGATCCGTTATTGACTATGACATTCAATGTCTCTGTCATTTCCTGGGGACTTATTCCCTCAGGCTTCGAAGGACTTATTCCTTCGTCTTCCCGGGGACTTATTCCCGCGGGTTTCGGGGAACTTATTTCCGCCGTATTTGTAATCTTGGGACTTATTCCCTTTACTTCCTCTAGCTGGGGTTGCGCAACCACAGCGAGATCCTCTACGAAAGACTCTCCAGTCGATCTAGGATTATCGTTTCGCTTAACCTGAGCGATCGATTGTTTCTCTTCTAGATGTTCCTCTCTAGGGATACATCTTTGTCCCAGTCCACCCGACTTATTCGAGTGGTGGACCTTCGGCGCAGCCTGTGTTTCCTCACAGCCGCCGGAACTTTGCTCCGAAGTGTAACCGTTTGGTACACTAAGGTTTTGTGCAGTCGTACTAACGACCGTACCACAAGTGAGGCCATCGCACTCACTCGTAGTACATCCACACGCTTGTGGACTCTCCAAAACGTTCATCAGATGGCCATCTGATGAACAAGCGGCAGGCATCGTTACTGTCCGATGTTGCCAGTTTACCCGTGGTTCGTACCTTCTGAGCCACGGTATTCCAAGGATGACATCAAATTTGTCATCCAAATCCAATACGATAAAGTCATCGTCGTATTGGGTATCTTCTAGCGTATAGTGAATCTTCACTATACGCTTCATGACGGTTACGGATGCGCCTGTCGCAAGACGTACCGTCATCCTCGTAGGAGGTGTGTCACATTCACTGGATTTAAAGTGACCATCTTCTAGCGATTGGCGTCGCACAAAATTGTTGGACGCCCCACAATCGACTAGAGCTCGAAGGGACAACTTATTCGTCACTTCGAGTTTCAAGGTTATGAGTGAGATCTCATTACCTAGAGCAGCAACGCACAATGTCTGTGTGTTGGGAGCAACCTTCATCAAGAGGCCTACAAATTCTCTTGACGTTGCTGGATCAGTAGGGTGCCCGCACCTACTGATCCTGTCCGTTTTTTGACGGTCCATCCCGTTGTTGCGTCTTTGCACCAACTGCGGACCCTCGTCCCCTGCCCCTTTCTCATGGGTGGACGGTCACTACGCCCAGTGTCGCGAGACACTGGACGAGGGGCACTACACTCGTAAGCGTAGTGTCCTGTCTTTTTGACATCTGTTGCATCTCTGCAACTTCTTGTAGCCTGTAGAGCGAGCCTTCTCGCTCTCTACATAACAGAGTTCCATCGGCTCTGGATTCCTCCGTTGTCATATCGTCTCGGTTGACGATATGATGTCGAGCTGGCGCGAGCCTGTCTCAGACTGAAGTCTTCCTGCTCCGCAATGGAAATGGCTTGTTCTAGTGAATCTAGTTCAAGCCGGAACAGGTGAGTCTTGACGGGACCATCCGCAAGACCCTGCATGAACACCGAAACCAACGTGTGTTCATCCACCGGATTGGAACTTATACAACTCGTGAGATGTCGTATATGTTGAGCGTAAGCGTGCACATCACGCTTACCCTGCTTGAGCTTCAAGAGTTCGGTTCGAGCTCTGAACTCAGCTCTAGGCGGTTCAAACGTTTGTCTGAGCCGCGACTTGAAGACTTCCAACGACCCAAACGCGTATGGGTCGTGCAGCTTGAGCCCCAGTGCCCAAGTCTTGGCACGTCCTGCCAGATTTGACTGGGCAAATGCAACTTGCATATCCCCGTCGTCGATGCGACGCGCCCTTATGGCGTCATCCAATTCGACGAACCATCTCAAGAGGGAGTCTTCTTCGACCCCCATATACTTTGAGATGTCAATCTTCAAAGTCTCGGGCCGACGCGAGTGCATCGACCCGCCAGCAGCAGCCTGCTGCTGTCTCAACAGTTCAAACTGTTGAGCACCTTGTTCTCTCAACAACTCTGCTTGTTGAGAACCTTGTTGGTGAAGCAAGGCTACTTTCTCAGCGTTCTGCGTCAAGTTCATTTTGAATGAACTTGGCGATAGTAGCATGTTGGGCATCTCTATTGAGAGCCTCTAGCATGACGCTAACAGCATGGATGCCCATGGTCGAACCCATTCGTTCAACCGCATCCCATTCGACATCGCTCAAATGGGAGTAGCCGTCACGCGTAGCGTGAAAGCTTTGGTCATCTTCATCATCCAACATATTCATGTTGGATGTGAACGCGGTCCTTGGACGGACTACGAAGTGCTACCAGGTGTAACGGGGCACCCTGAAGCTTGTACTGGTGACAGTACAAGCTACTTATTCTGATAACAGAATAAGGCGGTGCCTCGTAACTTCACGTACACTCGTACGTGCAGAGGAAGACGGTAAGAAGAAGCGAGTACTTGGTTAGAGTAAAAAGTAGAACTGTATTTATAATAGTTAATGTCTGCAATAAATCACTATTTATCTTCATCTAACTATGTCTAAATACAAATGTGTAAATCAGTTATCTGCTCACCACTCATTGCGTGCGTCTGTCGTGGCGCGTCTTCGTTGGTTGATATAATGGCCTATATCAACCAATTAGGAACTACTTGGAAGTGCTACAGAATATTGTCCTTATGACAATATTCTGAGAATATAACTCTTATAGTTATATTCTATTAACAATTTCTTATAAATTGTTATGTAACGATTCACCCCGTTACAAGACGGACATGAATGACTCGATCTTCTTTTGAGAGAGAGAGAGAGAGAGAGAGAGAGAGAGAGGAACAGATCGTCTATTATACGATATTATGGTGTACAAGACGTCTGGAAAGACCTAAGCCAGGATAGCAACGCCGGTGTCGGATGATCCGGTGGTTGTACGTGACTCACCGCTGTGTGCGGTGCTCTAGATAGGGCCATGGTGAGCAGTCCAATGCATTGGTTCAGACGAGTCCCGGCCACCTGGGTGTGTAGCTGTCTACGCTCTCGCAGCGCTAGCGCGTGTAATTGCCGAAAACTTAAAACTGTGCATTCGTGGATACATCCCGCCAAAGTGACGGAATGCCCTTCGTGAACGACCCGATTGCGTTGCACCCATAATGTCGTGATACATATAGAACAGAATACCCACCACATCCGCTTCCATTGACATACATATGCCTCCATCGAATGTCCAAACGCGCTCGGCAGCCGCCGAGAAATGATCGGATGTAACGGCGGGGAATTTCGTGACATGCAAAAACTCGCATAATGCTGCACGCTGACCGGCATCACCGAGCATCCGGTCCAAACTCGATCTTCTTTTGTGCCGTAGAAACGTCCACCATCGGTCGTCAATGGGTAAGAGAAATGGATTACAGCGGCTCATCTGACTACATTTAAGCATTCATTATCTCCACTGCAACTTCCACCGCTTCAGCTGCCACCGCTACAGATTTCGCCGTCGCGGGTTGGCTCCCACCCGCGCCGCTGCAGGAGCCGTCGTCTCGCAACTGAAGACCGCAGCCCGTTTGAAAAGCGATGGGTCCTACTAATCTAAGAAACGTTTCGAGTAACGTCTCTTCTAAAGTGGTTTTTTTCTTACCCTTGTTGGCATATATTAACTAAGGCTAATGGATAGTCTAACTGTCAGTTTCTTGGACGAACGTCCATGTTTTCATGCGATTCCTCACGATTCGGAAGTTCCCACCCAGAGTTAGGGACCTGATCGCCCGGCTCTTTAGAGGTATTTGTCGCTTGGCATTGTTGCCCGAAGGCGCAAGTTGGGAAGTGTTACGCTATGAAGTAGTAATTAGTGTCGTCACTGACTTCATGCGCACTTACGGGGCCAGCTCTGAGACGAACAGTGCTATCGCTGATGCTTTGACAACAGCTTTGTCCACTCCAGCGGTTCCAACGCCAAGGGAGAAGATGCGTTTTATAAAGAAAGCGAGACTTGCTCGATCAAAAGCCCACAACAATGCACTTTCTGCCGGCCCTTGTCACGCGTGATTAGGCTCAGCTGCAAGTCGCCCATGCTGGTCACCGCCACTATGAAACAAACCGGCTTGAGTCACTACTGAAGTAAAGTAAAGAGGAAGCCGCAGGTAAAAGAGACGCAGATCAAAGAGTGGGATGATCGTGGCTCAGAAAAGGGATCAGCTTCTGACCAAAGTCTCTACTACTGGCACGACCGGTCACTACGAAACTCGCCCGCCAGCCTCACAAGCAACCACCCGACCCCGTTTCAACATGCGCATCTACACCACGGAGCTCCTTGCCGCGGTCGCGTTCATCAAAAGTCTCTCAAGATACTCCGCCTCAGGTTCGAAGACGCTGCGGCCGGATCTTCGTTCCAGTGATCATCCCAAGGACCCTGTGAAGAATGCCAGCGACAACCGCATGTTGCCAAGCAACGACGGAGCAAATGGCGAAGACAGGACATTTGCTTGGGAATCGTCCGAACTCTCTGCGGTGGTTGAACGGGCGCAAGAAGTGATACACGACCAAATTGTCCCCATGCTTGCTGCTCAAGATCGGAATCACGTCGCACTTGGACGAGCGGGAGATCAGATGCACGTCCATGATATCCCCCTACAGTAGTACTCAAGGTTGGGATCGACTCAGACACGCACACGATGCACCAGAGCGTCTTGAGTCGAGCGGAACAGTGGCGACACCGGTGCTTGATCTGCCTTCGCTCGCGGAAAAAGAGCAGGCACCTGTCGTGGCTTCTCAATCGGAAGCAGACAGTACGAGGGTCAACGAGCATTCGCCTGGTGTGGCTTCTCGATTGGAAGCAGACAGTACGAGGATCAATGAGCTACTGATTGCTGACGGAAATCAAGTGGACGCATACAGGAAGAGGGCCATCGAGCGTGCGCTTGCTGTGGCTGCTCAACCTAACGACAAACGTACGAGTATCATCGAGCAACTACAACAGCAAACGGATGACAAGCTTTTGAGCCCAGACCAGTGGAAATCCCTGAAGAAGGGGAAGAGAACACAGAATTGGACAGCAGAACAGCTGATGCAGGATCTGGTAGGTATGTATGGTGCCAATACTGATGGCTTCACCAAACTCGCGACTGCTTTGCGAAAAGCTAAGGTGGCTGATCGTAATGACGAGATGATATTTACTGCTTTGGAGGCGGCGATGTTAGAGTCCTGGAAGAACCGCGGCATCGCGTTCGACCGATCTCCCGGCCTTCTGGAGCTCTCCGACCTGACGGGAGAAAGAGACATGATGGATAACAAGTTGCGACTGCTTCATCGATACCTATTTGTGTCCCCCGATGGTCATCATGGCGGCAGATATGATGTATATCGATACTTATTCGACAAGCTCAAGAGCGAAGGCGACTATATTTATCTACGGACGTTAGCGCAAGCGGGGCAGTCTACCATTGTGGACGGGATGCTGATGTATTACGTAAACAATGCTGTTAGTCACATGTCCCCCACTACAATGATTAATCGCATGCACGCTGCGCAAATAAGTGAATCTACGGGTTGGCGTATGCTGAGTAATATACGCCAGGTTGCACAAGCACAAGAAAATTACGAGGGCAAGTTTCGATGGACTAATATTGCGAAAGCGTTGCAGACCGGGTCAGATAACAAGTGGAAAAACTACTTTAAGAAGGCTCTGGGCATAGCGTCCAGCAACCCGAGCGCGAACAATTCAAAGAGGAAGGAAGGCACTTTTTCGACTTACGAGGCTGCACTAGCGTTATCAAAGGAGGACCCGAAACGCCAAAAGACCGCGGGACCTTCCATTCGACGTTAGGTGGAGCAAGACAGTGCGCTTTCGGATCGGCTTTGATGAAGGAAGGGTTAGCGACAGCAATCGGGTACTGGATGGAGCAAGGTGGTAGAGGTGTTGGTGAGCTTGCGACAAGCCTAGAATCACTTTGCTGGCCTTGATCTACCAAGACAAGTCAGATAAGGTGAAATACAACCACATTAACCCTTTGATTCAGGCTCGAAGCCATGATGCTCACACTTGTCAACGGCGCGTTAGGTAAGAAACAAGGTCGAACCAGAACGTGACCTGTGCTTTTCTTCAGGAGTGGATGAATTCCGACACCGCTTCTCGTTTGGATTCGTTACTGCTACACTCGGATGCAGGCGTGTCTTCCTCCACCAACGGGCGGATTTAGAGTACTGGTCGAATCAGCACCGACGTTGAACGTACTGCTCTTCGATACTCGACAACTGATGGCACTGTTTTCCAGTGCACGACGTTGTGCGATGGAGTGCATTTGTCATGGCATGGAGACCTGACAGCAGGCAAGCTAGATTGACACTTGATTTGATGCTCTGAACACATACAGAGCTATGTTCGTGTCGTGCTTGTTCATCTTCCTGCGACAAGTGTAACCCAACAACCCTGCAAGACATACCATTACTTGACCAGCTGGTACCCATGTCCTCGTTGCTTTACTTGATCGACAAGGCGAACTTGGTTCACGCCCGCTACAAGCACGACGGGTCTTCATTGTACTCGAATTGAAACCGAACCTCTTGGTTTGTTTTCTTTCTTGACACTGGCACCAAGTTTCAATCAATCTTGCTCACACGATGCACCGTTTGCACTCCAGCGAGGGCTTCGATCGCCAAAACCACGGAGCCTTCCACGTCACTGCCAGGCGCAACGGCAAGAGCACTCTGTGGGTCCAACTCAAACGCGAGAATCGTCACGCCCTCATTCTCCATGTGCAATCCACACTTCTTGATCTCAACCTTCCCATCGTGAACCCCGGCAATCACATCGCATATTTGCTTCAATAAGTCATGGTTTGGCAAACGACGCTCGCCACCGTCTTCACCACTGCAATGTTCCATTGCAGCCTCCACCTTCAGACAAAACGTGGTCGTAACCACTGTTTCGCCGATGCCAACCATGAAGTGATCAATACCCGGCACAAAAAAGCTTGCACCAGCTGCAGCTCGAATTATGCCTAAGTTGCGCGGCGACCGCACAACATCCATAGCTTTCTGAGCAAGGCTCGTTTCATACATCATCTGTCCCCACTGCACAACTTCATTAGCTGTTGGCCGTGCCGTCGGGTCGTGGCTTAATAACTTGCTGAGCATGTCTAAGATTTCAGGACATCGCTTTGTCGCGCGGAGATCAGCAGGGAACTTACTGTCTCGGGCATCACGGAGAGTGATGTATCGCTCCATTGTCGTTCCAAAGCGCTCGTGGCACAGCTCAAAGAGAATCATCCCCAATGAGTAAATGTCCGTCTTCGCGTTGTACTTTTTCCCCGCTACTTGTTCTGGGCTTGCATAGAGATACGTGCCAACACCCGCAGTCACCTCAGTACTCTCCGACATGTTCGACCACACCGACACAGATAGAGGAGTGTCCCGCACACCATTGGAAAGATACCCTTGTTGGGGATCATCAAGACTTGCCGAGGCATTCAGGCTGCTTGCATTCGCAGCGTAGCGCGATAAGCCAAAATCCCCCAACTTAATCTCGTCTCTCTCTACGTCAGCAACGAAAATATTTGCTGGCTTCAAATCACGATGAATCAGTCCACAAGAATGTACGTGCATCAGTGCACTTGCAATCTGCACAAAAATCTTGAGCATTCTCGACAGTTCCATTGGCCGAGTCGGAACAGCCAGATAGTCCGCCAAATTGCGGCCAGCACAGTACTGCATCTGAATGTACAGCCAGTGATCACATTTTTCTGCTGCGTTACATGAAGAGTCCTCGTCGCTACCATGAGCAGCCGGTGCGCAAGACGAAGACACACGGGGAGGCAAGTGGCTCATGCGTGGCTTGTTTTGCACGACCAAATCTTCTTCCTTCCAGCCATCCTCACCTTCCATACTAGACGTCTCACGTTCCCAGACAAACCCACCATCATCGGCATTGTCACTGATCACGCTTCCATTGCTGTAGAAGCTCTCGAGGTCGCGTCGGTCTCCTGGAAACTCAAGCTCTGAGATCGGTGCGAGAAGATTATTTGTTGAGTAATTTGCCGCAGCAGCGAGTCCACCAACTGAGCTCATGTCTGAGGCAACTAACGACGATGCTACCGACGTTCCATTTGTGCTCTCCTCAACCTTTTCTAGCCATGCCTGATAGTACCGAACAATGTTAGGGTGGTCCAACAGCGCAAGAATCTTTACTTCACGTAAAAACTTCTGCAAAGTCTTGGATGTCTGGTGTTTCAAGTTCAATCCAACTCGCTTGATTGCATATTCGCGTCCATCTAAGCGATTTTCAGCGAGCATAACTTGACCAAAGCCACCCTTGCCAATTGCTGACAGCTCTTCAAACTCGTTCACAAAACGGCTTTGACACACAAACGGAAAAAGAACTTCTGCCTCATTCGAGGAAGCCTCGGATTCACACGAGGATGATTGCGATGACCCTCGAACACTGGACTGGTCCACGCTTTGCCTTTCATCCATACCAGTTTGATTGCCTCGCACACATCGCGTACCACCGCCTCCACTCGACTGATGACTGCTGTCACTGTCGCTGTTGCTACAGCAGCTTCCCATTGTTGATTCTCCAGATGAGCTGATCGACTTTGGGCCGCTCATGACTCTTGCAGAGTCGGTACCGGTATAAAACGTGTCCTTCTCTAAATCCGTCGGCTTGAAGGAGTCGTTCTGAAGCACGTGATCGATGGCTAAGAATTCGACATCGACATCCTCGTCAACCGCAGACGGCAGCACTTTGCAAGTGTCCGAATCGTCGTCATCTTCTTTGGACACACGATCTGCTTCAGCAAACAGGGGGGATTCCCTGCTGCATGTAAATCTAGATCCCTGGCTAAAAACGGGAACGGCAGGGGATCCCATCGATACATCTTCAATGACTGTATCAGTCAATTGCGTCGCAGAGTACGAAGGCGCAGCTACACTTACAATACCATCCATGTAGAAATCGTCCATCAGCAATTTTTGCTTCCTGCTGACGTATCGACCACTAAGAAGAATTGCTGCAGATTCATTAGCCGCAGCGCGCGAAAACCTTTCCATAAGCATGGCTTCAGTTGCGGCAACACCCTTAGCGCCAGCTCCTGGTCGCGCGACATCACCATTCTCCAACAGTGGCACCTGGCTATTCCCGCCCAGAGTGTTTATCAATAGCGAGTGGCTGATCACACTTGAAATAGTCATGTCTTCTTCCCCTGGGCGCTGTATGATGAGTCGGTGCACATGAGACGTAAAAAACTGGCTCTGGTCCAAGGTTTTAATAGCAGATTGCGCTAAAGAAGCTGATAGTCCCTTGAAATAACACCCCCACGCTAGCAAGATGCCACACGCAGCCACACCTAATAGCATGACTACTGCGTGCGTGTACGTGATAAACACACCTTGCTTACCACCATTAATAATAGGCTCCCATAATGCTCGTCGACTGCCGAATGACTCTATCTCCTCCCCATCATAGTCATAAGTGTCGCCTGTTTGTTTGCTGTGGGATACAGGCGGACGGTTGCCGCGTTTGGTGACCACATCACCATCGTTCTCACTCACTTCGAAAAAGTAATCACCTCCTATTAAGCGCATTCGGAATCGTGCACCCACTGTATCCCATGTGCTTGGAAGCACTCGCACCAATTGGCGCTCCGTCGACAAATTCTCGATTTCCTGTTCCTGCTTCACGATAGTCGCTGATTGTGTGGAATCAATCGAGTATCGACGGCGATGCCAATCCTCTGCGGTCATTTGCGCTGGAGTCCGGACACGTCGCGATGACGATGGACCGTCCACCTTCCACTTGTAAAACGTTGACCCACGCATCGTCGATACTCCATATACGGCCAGAACATCGAAGTCGGGAATCTCGAATTCCCATAGCTGCTTTTTTGTCCAGGGATCAAACGCAATAATGGTGGAACTCGTGTTCGCTGATGCTGCGTCATAATCCTTCGGCAGTACAAGAATTTCGGGAGCCATCTTATGACCGCTGTCTCCGACCGGACAATGTGCCTGCTGTGCAAAGTCCAAAAAGAACTCTGAGATTTTGAAACATCGAGCAGCTGAAGCATTACGGGAATGAACAGCTCGCGTGGTAAAATCCGAGCGGCCAAACAAGACATCACTAGACACCGCTATTGATGCCGTGGATGATGACAAATAAGCGCGACGGGAGCCGCTAGCTGCATCCAGTGTAAACAGTTCCAGCGTTTTCTCGCCAAAGATCAAAATATCTGCTGCTGGAACGTCCACAGCAGGTTCATCACCAGTCACCGTAGCATCCACGGCCACACGTACAGGACCGTTCACATGAACAATGTCAGCCATAGTCATCCCCAGCTCTTGCACCTTGCCCTTCGACACATGATACAATCTGCCATCGTACGACGGCACGAGTTGGGACATAAACATGGCAGTACGCGCTGCCAGCGCTGTCGTCAGTTCCATCTGCTGCTGCTGCTGCCTCGTCACCGAGCGCTCCTGCACAGCCGCGGAATGCCCTGCCCGAGCACTTGTCACGTGAACATTTCCATTGACGTCCACGTCTTCCTGTGTGGCTTCCCGTGGCTCTTTAGCTGTTGCTTGGTACGTAGTCGGCGTCACGTCTGGCGTCGTATTCGGAGCGTGCTCCACATCCAGACACGGCGTCGAATGGACCATGGGACCACCCGAGTCAAAGGACCACAGGATGTGGCCAGACCAGGCGTCGACCGCGAACACGCGTCCATCAAGACCTCCAGTTACGACGACGTCTGCTGACGGTGCTGCAGTGTACGAATAGGCAGTAGCTGGCGTGTTTACAGCATTGCCAAGTCCGAGCGTCGTCATCATCATCGTCATTGTTGCTGTTGTCGTCATTGTTACGAATAGCACAAAAAAGGGTACGGAACAACGAGGGGTACGCCTAGTCGTGTTCATGATACCGTACCCGATACCGATACGATTCGGTATCGGTGGGAGTCGGGGTGTCAGGATAATGGCCAATCAGCCGCGCGTTCAGTGGCCGCAGAGGCGGACGGACACGCGGGGCGGCCACGAACGACCTTCAGCGCGCGTGGATCGCTAAGCGAGAGAGAGAGAGAGAGATAAAAATGTAGCCAGCTACCCGCTTACCTACGCGTTGCGAGAAGGAGGGACGCGAGAGGACCGACTGCAGGTTTCGAGCGCTTGTTGGCGTCGGGACTTTGTTCCGACTGTGGAACGGGATAGCGCCAGTGGCCGCAGAGGCGGAGTTGTGCTAGTGTTTGTGCGTTTTTTTGGTGGGACCTTGTATCGTTGATACAGATGGGCGGAGTGAAATGTATTGGGTCTTGCAGGTTTACACGATTACACGAAGTATGTTATTTCCGTGCACTTTAACGGGGCTGTGTGTGTGTGTGCGTGTTGCTTTTTTCGTGTCGACGGAAGTGACGTGGTGGAAGGTGGGACTGTTTTCTTTTTTCTTGTTTGCGGTTGTGATTGGGCGAGCGGAGGAGGAAATACCGGTATGGCTGACTACCATCGTCTGAAATGATGACGATCATCACCATTATCATGTATTGCAGGTACGGAAAGTGACGCTCTTGACACTTGATTACGAGCTGTCAACAACGACTTGAAACTTTGTGCATAGGTCGGACGATAAGAACGTATGCTTTCGTGCTTGAGCTCTTGCGCACGCACGTACGCGTGTCGAGATTTTTCGAGAATTTTGTGTCGAAATGATGACATTCGGGTTTTATTGGTCCGTTCGTTTTAACGACAACTTGTCGGAACTGACGTGCTCGAAATCGGTCGGAAGGTCGGAACTTGGACATCTGGACAACAGTTTACGTGGACAGTAACGTAATCGACTGCTCTCAGTATCAGCTACATGACTGGGTCTTGTCGCAATTATTAATCCATTCATGAGGTGATTAAGAAAAGCTTCAACACGACCAGAAGGTATTCACACGTTGCTGGTTTGGTCGCACGATTAGCATACGGCAGACTGCGTTCAGGTGCTTACAGCGACTCACTATCTAGTATTGACGACGAAAGCTCACTTCACTACGTCAGAAAAGACCGAAGACCGCAAACTGGGAATAGTGGTTTCTACGTCATTGTGGTCGTGTAGACACTGAAGTTGTTCTGATGCAGGATTTTCGGACAGTGAGTGTGTGATCACGTAGATAAAGCAGCAGTCGTTCGTCATGAAAGCAGAGCCGATAAGCAGTTCCTCTGTCTTGATGTGGGTTTCAAGAACCATGAGTGAGTATTTTCTCGCCTTTGTCGTCACTGACAGCTCGAAACTTGTGCTCTCTTTACTTGTCTTGGGTACACAAAGTGACGTGTCGACAAGAAAAACTGCTGTCATTATCCATGCGTCGAAATGCAGCGTCAAAAATACGACTAATGTCAAAATTAGACAAAGAAGAAAGCAGCTTAAAAAGCAGCAAGATAGATAATTGAAGAGCTAAAAAGATATAGAAACAGACAAAAAGACAGTGGTGACGGCGACTAACGTACGTGTTGAAATTAGACAGAAACAATGTATTTAGATGGCAAGTCTGTCAAAGTACGACGTTGTCGTTCTCGCCGCACGAGTACCTGAAAAATTGAGAACTGTTAGAAATCACACTCATTTTCTCACCGGAAGATGATGCAAAGAGCTTAATACCTCGCATAATTTCACGCTTTTCACCGTCCCTCTCCTGCGTCTGCTCCTCAATTCGCAACGAAAGGTGTCTGCAATCTCGCTTATTATTGTTTCGACAGCACATCATAGACGATACGTCCGCACGAGTGAGACCGAGATTTCTGACATGAGAACTCCCTCTTCGCATCGCCCAAGTTGTTTGCCACTAACTTTGTAGACAGACAGAAATATACGTATGCAGGCACCACCGTTTGCATAGAAACAGTAGATATGACCCACAACGCTGCTCATGGATGTGGAAGGCTCTGTGCTGCGTCCGAGCTGGCTGGCATTTCGAATTCCGAGTGGCTGCAAACAGCTTGACAAGGCACAAGCCGTAACATAACTCGCAGATGGACTTGTTTGCAACTCTTGCTTGTCCAACCTGAGCAGATTATCTCGTGTGCTGTCCACCGATGAAAACTCGGATGCGTCCGACAACTGTTTGCGTCGACGAAAGTAGCAAACACGTCTCCAAACATCCAGCCAGTGTCACGTAGGAGGTAAACACGAACCGAGACTGCACTCTCACGTCCATCGACGTCACTCTTCATACCTTCACCCCCCATCGTCCACGCATCGAACATACTTAGAGTCCGTGCCACCTTTGCAAACTTCAAACCTGGGACCGGGTCGACTGCCAATACTCGTCCCGGCTCAGTGATGGGGACAAACACCATGCAATCGTTTTGAACCAAAGTTACCATAAAAGTGCTCCGCGCACAGTCGTCACTTACATTCCACATGACTACACAACGCCTGAAGCAGTTGCACGTAGGGCGCGCTACCAGTACGACCGACTGGTTACACCACAGGGCCCTGGGATCACGCTCAATGCGACGACAACCTTCCACACTGCTGGGCTGGGTCTTAGCGGCTTCAACCGACAGGCACAAGCAGCAGTGCTGCACCTCAGTCTGGACTTGATCACTAACACGCGCAAAAGCTCGACGGTGTAGCTGTCCGTAAAGTTTGAAGCGACATGTACCCGTCACCGACGAAGATGCAGCAGTCTCGCATGTCCACTGCTAAAAATAATGCAAATCCGCTACCGCAAATTTGACGCGGCGCCAAATTATGATGGCTGACCCCATCTCCAGCATTGGTGACGTAACACACGATGATAATAACCAACCTTTCACTTCAAGTCGTCAAAAGCGGGAAAAGCCGACTTGACAGGCCTCGTGTCAACCCATCAGCTAGTCAACTGCCAAAACACTCCAGCGTCAACGTACCAGGTAAGAACGTCGACAGGAAGAAATATGAGCGAATGAAGCCTTTCATGACGATGAATGTAAGCTTGCTGCAATTCATATCAGCGGCAATCCTTGCCTCGGGCCGTTCAGCCTCGTCGAGCTCGACCACTCAAGCGTACAAATGGTAGCTGGACCGGCTGGCACAAGAAGCGAGAGATGAGTCAGCCAGGAGCAGACATTTCCAAGTGCGGGTACCCAGTTTTTAAAATGGCATTTCGGACTCCATTGCTTCATCTTTCATTGCTCCGCCCGCGCAGGCAAAGCATGCACAAGTCGACCCATCCCGGTTCTCAACTTATCCTTCACAGCGAGCTTTGCGAATCTGAGTTCTCGGCCGAAAAACACCGGGACGGGTAGCTCCAACGACGATGGAGCTTACTTGCTGATTGCAAATCATAAACCCTGACGCCGAGTCTTCGTCACCCAAACGTGCCACAGTCGAAGGCGGTAGCGGCAAGCAGCAAAGACATGTGAACAGTGATTGTCCTTCCTACTATCCGATGCGGAGGACCTCATGGCTGTAGCTGCCCTCCGGTATCACGCGTAGAAACTCTGCAATGGGCCATTGACTGTTGATTTCGCTCGCCGCTCTTTTGAAGCACATCATCGTCTTCGTCCACGACGGCACCTGATGAGCCCTTTGCCGTCCACGAAACATCTACGTGGAGATACAAAAGGCACGTCGCACGAGGGCTTGTATAGCCGTAGCAGGGGTCGCGTGAAGGCAGAAACCGCCATTTCGATGGTCCACAACGAGTACTTGCAACTGGACATGCAAAGCTTCTGGACGGAACGCTCTCTAGGTAAACACAAACGAAGCATGCATTGTCAGTACGTAGGTAAGCCAGTATACCGGTACGTCAGCACGGTCAATGTTATAACAAGACACTAGTAGCGCATGACAACTTCAATTCTCAAATTAATGCATTCACAAACAAAGGTTCCGGTCTCCCGTCGGATGCGACTCGGCGTCACTGACTGATCAAGCTCGCCAATCGAGAAAAGCAGAGCACAGAGGCACCAGCTGACTCGTCCGGTACGACTCCACGTAGCTCGTCTCGCGACCAGTTAGTAAATGCGAAAGCCCACCCAGAAAGGTCGGCTCCAACTGCAATGGCAGCATTGAAGAAGCATCGTCCATCAGCTCGCGTTCCCTTGCGTACGATAGAGTAGACCGCAGCTCCACTGCCTGCGTGGCCAAGGACACAATCATTGAGGACACGCAAGTTAGAGCAAGCAGCGCATCCTTCTCTCCAAGTATCTTGTCGCCGTCTTTCGCCGAGGCATCTCGGGCACTAGAAAGTTGCTGAGAAAGTAGCACAACGCGTTGGAGGAACTGATCTTCGTGGCCAACTTCCAGTCCTTTTTGCTGCTCAAGGCGAAGGAACTCCAGCAGCAGTCCACCTCCGATAGCATCCACCTTCTCACAGCTCTTCCACAGCGGGATGTGCACCGACACGGGCTCCAGCTTCAGCAGCTCCTGCATCAATTTGTCTTTCTCATTATCAAACAAGCAACGCATTGCTACGTGCGTAATCAAGCACGCATGAGCTCTTTCGTAGCGCCGAGCAGCCATCCAGTGCGCAATTTCTTTGCTGCGCTTCAACCTTGCAACAGCCCTTACTGCGAGTGCCTCACTAATCCATTCAGCGGGGATATTCAAACGCTCGCAAAGACTTTTTCGTACAGACGCGTTTGAGGACAAAGAATCCGCGTTTCGAAAAAGCAGCTCGCGACATGTATACTCGCGCTCGGCAGCGTCGGAGATATTAAGCGCGACATACAATGCGTCTTCCCAAAGACCACACCCTTCCAGTTGGCGAATAAAATTCTGATGAATGTGCGATGCCCATTGGCGTTCAAGCTTGTAGCCAATCGCACGCAGGACACTGTGCAGATGCCACGACAACTCGTAGTCCAAGTGAAACAAACCTTGTGTCATATATCCACTAGGTGACAATACTTTGCAGAGTGAAGCCACGTCTTCAATGTAGAGTTTCATGAGCTCCATCAGCACGTCCTCTTTTTTAGTACCTGCAACCGCAAATCGTGACATTGGAGGAGAAGCCAGTTGCTTACTGACAGACTCTTCGTACAGCGCCACAGCTGACTTCAGAGACGACGCGGGGCCACGCTTGTACCACAAAAATAACGCAAGACATGTGACCCATGACATGCTGGCACCTTGACGAGCAGACAGCACCTCGACACTTCCTGACAATACGCTGTAGACGAAGACCAAAGACTTGTCCATACAATGCAGCGACCCATTCTCATTCCACTCTTCCATTTGTTTCACCATCATACGACGAAAGTCAGTACCGTCATAGGACGCCGCTTGCGCAATCAACGTTGCCAAGCGCCAGTCACCGCAATCCATAGCCATGTCTGCTGCCTCCACAATCCGGTGCTGACACAACAAGCTCAGGACGCCTTTCGGGCTAGGGCCGTCGTCAGACGTAGGTCTGTTCCCTGCATCGCTCAACGCGGCCTCGAACCACTGAGATATGGCTTCCCTACGCAGATCCAGCGACTGAAAACTGTCCAGCGTTTCCACTTCATTAGGGTCATCTCGCGATGCAAGAGGGTAAAAGACGGAATCATGACGATCGTCTATATTAGCACCATGCTCTTGGCCCCACAGAGCTTGAACCAATTTCCAAACGAGCACCCTGAGCTTCGTAAATGAACTGTCACTGTTATCACGAACTCGACTTTCTGCGAAGACGACGTACTTGTGCAAGCAATTCATCAGCCGCTCATGAGCAGGAAATGCATATTCAGTAGGTACATTGGAATCTCCTCTGTCTACAAAATCGGTGGGGTCCCGACCGTGTGAGGTATACTCATAGTGCAACTTCAACCCGTCATGAAGGTCTGCCCTTCGACTTTCAGCAAGGCGAAGCGGAAACTCGATACAAACACGGCGACCGTAACTTTCTTCGCCAGAATGGTTCTTCGAAATGAGCTTTCCCGGATTAACTAACTCGCCGTTCGGACCCCACGAGCATCGAAACGTTCGCGCCATGAACATGCCTCCATCAACGTAGTTGTGCACAACTTCAGTATTCTTCTGATTAGACGCTTGCAACATCATCTGGTACGTCGTTGATCTTTCATCAGCACGCAAATGATTACAGTTGCCGACACCTAGTGGTTTCAAAAAGTAAGGAATGACTGGAAACACTTTGCTGGTCGGCCGCTGGTCCTTTTGCGGTGCCACCAACTTTTCGGCATCGTCAAAGTTCGTCTCATCTTCCGTCACGCCTGCAACACTGTCCAAATCGTCCATCATGCCGTCTCGCATATCGCTCACAGCAACAGACGTCAGATGGTCTCCAAATGATGCGACGACATTTTTGCTTTGTATGTCACCGTCATAGATGCGTGACTGGCGAAACAGTCGGCTGCGATCGGCTGTGAAAGGCATTCGACCCACCATTTGGCCGCGAGCCGTACCCAGCTTTCGAGACAATTCCGTGGCGTGCAGTTCCTTGCCGTGATCACCTACCGATCCATCGTGCGCACCGGTTCCTCTAATCGGACCATCCATGTCAACATCATCATCATCCTCGTCATCGTCATCGCCAAAAGCGTATCGGCTAAAGTGTTCAACCCGAAACCGCCATATTCCCTTTTCGGTGGAGTAGTCGAGGAAGGTAGCACCAATATCTTCCGTACGCTGCTTCACGCGCTCCTTGTACTTTTCGGGAGAGGTCGATTTGCGAGGAGGAAATATACCCAGGAGTTCGACGACAGCAGGTTTATTCAGACCCTTACCGAGTTCATGCTTCTCTTCACCATCCTTGTACACAACCACTTCCTTCCTCTCGAAGAGCACCAGATCGTCAAGGTCAAGGCATCGCACATCGGTCAGACCGATCCATTCGACAGCACCCAAGCCGCGACAACCAACAGTGAACGACTCCACTTGGGACAGTTCGTGGTCGCTCATCGTCTGTAGGCGGTCGAACGACGGAATGGTATAGTAGTCTTTGTTTTTCAGCGTAGGGCACGACGTTGAGACAGAAGAAATCTGACTGGTACCACCTGCTTCAGTATCTTTGAGAAAGTCATCGTCGTCACAACAGGCAGAGACCAAGTACTCATCGTAGGTCATGAAGCGCTTCGGTGGCACCGCCTTGTCACTACGTTGTGCTTCGGGCATCTTATCCGGCAAAGAAATTGACATACTCGGGTTTCCACGCTTATCGCCGTCTGTATGGTTTTCCACCACAACTACATCAATAGAGTCCCCCTCCTCTAGCAGCAAATCTTCGAGAAGATCATTGTCGTGTAAAATCTTGCCCTTCAACACCAACTTGGTGTCAACGATCGGAGATGATACCGACGCACTGCTGTCACGGAGCAAGAGTTTGACTTCGTTTCTCACTTGTTTAACAGTCTGACTCGAGTGCAGACGCAGCAAAAACGTTTTCTTGTTCGTCTGATTGCAAAAGGTAATGCTGTACTTGCCGTCCGTGTCAGCATGCAACAACCTTTTGCGGGAATCACCGCTTTCATAGAGGTCAACACGATCACCATCAGCGATTGGCACAACAGACACACGCGAACTTCTCGGCGGACTCCTAACGGCACTTTGCTCCTCCTTGTCGATCACGAGCTTCTTCGTCATCGAGTTACGGAACAGAGATGACGTGAATTTGAACTCGTTCTCCTTACCACCACCATCACCCAATCCGGACCGTAGACTATTGGAAAAAGGAGGAGTCGTAAACGTGGAGAATCGACTCTTTGAGCCCTTAAATGAGCCACGAATAAACGACACTGGGACCGCACGGCGTGGAGCACTCAGCGTTTGACGTCGTGTCACCAGAGGCTGATCCAACGGAAGCCCAACTTCATTGGCAAAGGTCAAAGATCGAGAAGACGAACTGAAACCAGTCTTGATTGCCTGAAGATCCAGCGCAGCCTTCACATTCTGCTCGACCAGACCAGCACCAAACGATCCAGCACCGTACGGATTAACATCGGGAGCCGCAACCAACTCTTGTGGCTGCGCAACGGCTGCTTGCTGCTGCGGCTGGCCAAACAGACTGCCAGTCGTACCAAATCCTCCTGTGTGCGCTACCGGAGTAGTGGCAGATCCAAATCCACCGAAGCTGCCAGTAGTCGTCCCGCCAAATCCACCACCACCACCACCAAAACCAAACCCCGTCGTTCCGGTATTCGTGGCAGCATTAGGTGTGCCAAAGAGCGACGATCCACCGGTGCTCGTAGCGCCACCAAAAAGTCCTCCTGGGGTGGAACCCATCGTCGATGATCCGAACAGACCGGTCGTTGCAGGCTTTGCAGCGCTGAAGAAGCTTGTCGTAGAGCCTGGCGCGGCGGATGAGGTGCTACCAAAACCAAAGCCACCATTCAAGCTAGTCGCTGCACCGGTAGACCCGAAGAGAGAACCCGTAGGTTGTGCAGGGGTGGTGCCAAATGCACTAGGCGCCGCAGTAGCACCAAACGCACTACCAGCTGTACTACCAAAAGCACTGGTACTGCCGCCAGAACCAAATCCAAAACCGCTCGATGCTGCAGGCTTTGTAGCAGCTGCACCAAATGCAAAACCAGTAGACGAAGGCGTTGACGCTCCGAACGCGCCAAAAGGAGAGGCAGTTGACCCAGCTTGAGGTTGCGTAGCTCCAAATCCAAACCCACCCGTTGCCGGGGATGCTGAAGGAGCTGGCGTGGTCCCAAAACCTCCAAACGCTGAAGGTGCTGCTTGATTGCCAAACCCCGAAGCACCAAAGCCTGAAGAGGATGCCGGGGCGGTGGCACCAAAGCCTCCAAAGCCACCAGCTTGAGATTGGCCTGCTGTGGTTGCGCCAAAACTGCTACCAAATCCACCTGTCGTCGAGCCAAACCCTCCACCCGTGGCGGGAGCCCCAAACGCTGAATTAGCACCAGGTGCAGCACCAAATGCACTGCTTGTGCTTGGTGCACCGAACGCATTCGGACTTGAGCCTGCCGCAGTATTTCCAAACACGCCACTGCTCGTAGCAGGAGCCACTGGCTGCGATCCAAAGCCACCGAATCCACTAGCCGATGGAGTCGTATTCGTTGTGCCAAATGCAGACGATCCAAACCCGCCACCAGTCGACGGTGCCCCAAACGCCGACGGCTGCGGAGTGCCAAACCCTCCCGTAGCACCAAATGCCGAACTCGTAGCTGGTTGAGCACGGAACCCTCCAAACGCACCAGTCGCGCCGGTACCAGCAGTAGCATTTGCAGCAGTAGCAACAGGCGCGTTTTGCGTCGCTGCTGCTTGTGCTGCGGCAGGGTTTGTGCGCTTCAGATAGTCTTCATACCGCAGCTCCTCCGTCGATTTGTGCGCGTACGCAGGCATGTGCGAGATGGACATGTAATTGGCCGTGCCGCTGCCTCCCCCCGGCTCCATCCCGCGCGTCGACTGGTACGGCGGTTGACCAGTTCCTACCTGCACTGGCCCCGCGCCAACAGACGCTCCCGTCGCGCCTGTTGCCTGCAGTCCAAATCCGCCAAAGCCCGTTGCATTAGTAGCCGGCGGTGCTGCGCCAAAGCCTCCCGTCGTCGTATTCGCTGCGGTCGCCGTCATACCAAACGGACTCTTAGCCGCTGCGGCTCCACCAAAGCCGCTCGTCGTGGTCGCGCTGCCAAACATACCGCCCGTAGCAGCAGTCGGCGTCCCGAACCCCGCGCCGGTCGTGGCCCCGCTGCCAAACGCGCCTGTAGAGCCAAAAGGACTCGGACTGGGCACCGCCGCCGCGACCGGTTTGGCCACAAATGGCGTGCTGGCGCCAAATGCCGACGGGGCAGACGAGCCAAAGCCGGTATTAACGCCGCCTCCGCCGAACGTGGACGTGGATGCAAAGCCAGAGGACGTGGTTGAGGCGGTAGGCGCTACGCCAAAACCCGTGGCTGGTGTAGCCGAAGCGCCAAAGCCGCTGAAACCGGTAGTTGATGTTGGGGGCGCACCAAAACCGGTAAATGAGGGTTTCGGCGCGGTATTTCCGAATGTAGCCATTCCAGACCCAAACCCCCCGCCCGTCGCGGTACCGCTTGTGCTACCGAATGGAGACGCGGCGGTGGACGTGCCAAAGCCGCTGCTAGTGGTGGCAGTCGAGCCAAAGCCGCCGGAGACAAAGCCACTGCTCGCAGGCGGGTTGGAGCTGCCGAAGCCGCCGAAAGACATGGACTGTAGATGCGCGCGCGCGAGTGTGATGGACAGCAAGGTGCGGACGAGTGCAGAGTGATGGTCGCGCGGTTTCCCTTTTGAGATGGATGCGCGGTGGGTAGTGTGCGGTTGGTGTGGCACAAAGTGTGGTGCACGGCGGTTGGGGCGGGAGTGTGTGTGTGGTGCACACCACGGGTCACCGTGACTTTTTATTTTAAATTTATTTTGACGACGACGACGATTTCGACATAAAGGCGGTTTTTGTTCTTGTACAATGTGCACTTCCTTGGTTACAACATGCTATTTGAAACAAGCGATGAACCGAGTCTCGCTGTATTTTCTCTCTCCCTTTCTCTCTCTCTCTTGTGCTCCCTACCGAAAGTCCAATAGCACGAGATGCATCTTTTTTAAATCACGGCGGATCACGACAGTGCCTGGAACGTGTTGCGTAAACTTTGCATCGTTAAAATTGCTCGGGACTTTCAACACGACGCACTTGGTGCTCGCTTGCAACTGCGCGCAAATTTCGTGCAGTGGTAACCCGCCAAGGAAAAGGTCCACCTCGTCAAGATCCTTGTACTCTGGTCCACCCCACGGCGGATCCAGAAACACGACGTCCTGCTGCAGCTCCAACATCACATCGAGGTAGTTTGCGTGCATGCACGTGGCATTCGTCTTATTGAGGACCTGCAGATTGTGCCGCAACATCTGCACACGCGTCAAATCATTCTCCACGGCGTTGACGTGCGCGAAAAAGTCGCAGAACGAGAGCACGTTGCCTCCAATGCACGCGGTGCCGTCTGTCACCACAAGCGGATATTTCGTGCGCGCTGGTGCAGTCAAAGTGCTCTCTTCGTGGTCCGCATCACTGCTCTCGGGCGTGATGTCGTCTTTTGGTGGTGCAAAAAGATCCAGCACAGCTTGAGAAATCTTGGTCGCCATGTCAAAATCTGTCACACTGAACTCCGCTACCTCGTCGACTAGCAATTGGCTCCGGACTTCATAATTCAAATTGCGGAAGAAAAAATCACGTTTGTCCCCACATTTCCTCGAACGCGGCGATCCGTGTGAATCCGATCCCGAGCGAGGCGACCGCGGCGAGTCGGACTTGGAGAAAGGCCTTCCGAGCGGTCGATTGCCTGCGCACTGTCCGACGTCACGCTCACTCGAGTCGACACTTTCGTTGTGATCGTGGTGATGAAATGTTTTGCCACAGCTTTGATGATGCGCTGATGTCGACACTACGCTTGCTTTCTTCCTCGTACTTCCGTTCGGCAAATGATGAGCTCTTCGACTACAAGAGCTCTGGCGCTCGACATTGACGCTCGATCGACTTCCGTACTGCACCACAATCGCAGTATTGTCGACGGACATTTTGTCCGCCAGTCGCTGCAAGCTGCTGCGCCGTGCAAACATGACTTTCCCCAGAAGCGACGGATGTGGCACTCCGTCGACGGGCTCGATATCTGCTTGCAGTCGTTGTGATGGTGTTTTCGGTCGTCTCTTCATCTGCTGCCTCCGCTTCCGCCTCATGACATCAGCCGCCTCCAGTTCGTCTTGACTGAACGACCGTCCAGGTGTCCCTGCTACAGCACGCACTGAACCATGATCCAATGACCAGCTACTTCCAAGTACTGGCGGATCATCACGAGTCAGCGATAAAAAGACATTGGAGGACTCGGACGTTGTCCGGCGCTCGGTTCCCCGTGCTCGTCGACCATGGGACACCACCGTCTTCCACTCGTCGCCCTCCACGATTCCGCGACCATTACGTGCTGGTCCGTCTCGATCCAGCTCAGCTTCCCGTTGCTGGTGTTGCTTCTTCTTCTTCTCTTGGACCTGCTGCATCTGCCGTTCGCGATATAAGCGCTTGGTCTCGAGCTCGGCCTGGTACTTGCAGGCAAAGCCGCTGTCTGGACGCCACGAGCGCTGGTGGTTGTCCAAACTGCTGCTCCGCTGACGTCCGATAGTCAGTGCTAAAGGCGATGGTGAACATGGTCCTGCTGCTGCTGCTGCGACCGTCGACGTACACTCGCGTGCTCCTGCTGCTGCGACTTCCATTTGCCAGCTGGGAGGTTGAAACGGCGGGATAAGACCGACCTTGAGGTTGGGCCGCGTTGAGTATTCATTTTCGCCGTCATGTGGACGGATCAGTTCTTGACGGATACTAATTGATGGAGGTGCAGGTGAGTATAGACGTGCGATCGAGTAGTGCCTCAGATACCGATGGAAACAGATGGCAGCAGCACATGCGGGAGGCGGACGATCGTCTCAATTGACTGGAACTTTTCTTGCAATGAAGGCCCAAATTGATTCTCGCTGTAAATTGTGGTATCGATTTGCAGTGCGATACACGCAAGAAGGGGTTCATGACTAATGTGTCGAGAAGAACCTCCTTCTTTTGCTATCGAAGGGTGAATATGTAGCATGATGCTCGGATTCCCATAGCTGCATGCAGACGCAAGAGTTGTTCGAATCGCTCTGTCGTCACCATGACCGCAGATGCGAGGATTAGTCCCAGTCGCAGTAAGTGCTACCGACGTGCGGGGAGTGACAATTCTAGCCACAAAATAGCTTTCAGTCCCATCTGTCGCTGAAGCACGGATCCATTTGGATGCCGCGTTGTGGCTCACAGCCAGGGCGGGGCTTCTTCTGGTTTCCGATAATTGCCCGTGCTCAGTATTGCCGCCGTCCTCTGGTCGGAATCGTCGACACCGCCACGTCGCGGCTGCGCACCACAACTTGAATCTTCATAAACGCCTGCTTTCTTTCTATTTGAGAGGCTCATTATATGTCACAGTACTAACGACCTGACATCTGTGATCAAACAACGGACTGAATTTATATCGAATCCTGCAATGTATGCAATCTCACAGGTGCGCAGGTCCGTGTTTTGCCAGTCATGCTCGACTTGCAGCATACCTTCCGACAGGTTGATCTGCATCACCACGACCGTTATCGCCATCCACTCCTCCCTGACTCTTCACTGTGCCCAAGACGAATAACAGCTCGAGATGGTGGGCGTGGGAATGAATTTCTACGATGACCAGAGCCGTCAGGACTTGACGCCCACTGAGGGGAACCGCACGTACGCCATTATCGTCTGCATCTTTGCATCGCTAGGCGGCATTTTCTTCGGGTACGACCAGGGAGTCACGGGTGGCGTGCTCGTCATGGAGTCGTTCCTCAATGACTTTTGCGTGGGCTGGCATGGCCAGACAATGGCCGACTGTACTCGCGTGACTGCGCAGTTGCCGCAACGCTGGGTGGACTACACGCTATGGTACAATATGACGTACAACATTGGCTGCATGGTAGGCGCGATTGTGGGCGGATGGATTGCAGACAAGTTTGGCCGCCGGATCACGATTTTTCAGGCTGGATCGCTCTTCTGTCTAGGCACGTCGTGGCTTGCATTCTGTCCGAGTCACGCGCATAGTTCACTGCTCATTGCCCGGTTCATCCAGGGCATGGGCGTTGGAAATTCGTCCTTCTCGCTGCCGTTGTTTGGTGCTGAGATGGCGCCAAAGGAACTGCGGGGATTTCTGTCAGGATTCATGCAGATGACGGTCGTCACGGGACTGCTGTCGGCTAATGTGGTGAATTTGATTGTGGAAAACCATGAGCGAGGGTGGAGAATCACGAACGGGATTGCTATTATAGCGCCTCTTGTCGTTATGCTCGGCATCTTTTTCGTCCCGGAGAGTCCTCGGTGGACGTATTTGCACAAGGGCAAAGATGCGGCTTCGGCAATGCTGAAACAGCTAAGGCAGACACGAAAAGTGGATCGAGAATTACGGGCCATTGGTGCACAAATTGCACGAGAAGGGCGGCCAGGAGGGCTAAAGGAGCTGATGGAACCACCGATCTTCAAGCGCGTGGTCATTGCCATGCTACTTCAGGTGCTCCAGCAGGCAACAGGAATCAACCCGATGTTTGCTTATGGCGGTCTCATCTTCAAGGATATCGTCGGAGACGGCATTCTGTCCGTGCTCGTCATTTCGATTGTTAACTTCATCGGTACCATCCCTGCCATGCGGTGGGTGGACACATATGGCCGTCGTCAGTTGTTGCTGGTTGGTGCCGTCGGCATGGTTGTTGGTCACCTCGTGTCTGCTATTCTGTTCACACTTGGCTGTGATGGCAATACTGAGAGTTCAGGGTGTTCAAAGTCCTCGGGATATGCGATCATTGTCGCAACGTCGTTCTTCGTCTTCAATTTCGCCGTTTCGTGGGGACCTGTAAGTTGGGTCTATCCAGCCGAGATTTTCCCACTCAACGTGCGCTCTATTGCTGTGTCCCTCTCGACGATGGCGAATTGGCTCATGGGCGTGGTCATGACTTGGGTGGTGAAGCTCTTCCCGTCGCTGAATATCAACGGCGTGTTCTTTTTGTTCGCCGGCACTTCTGTTCTGAGCGGCGTGTTCGTGTATTACATGTGTCCAGAGACCGCGGGTATTCTGCTGGAAGACATCGAGTCTCTGTTTAACGGAAGTGCTCGCCACAAGAACTCGTCGAAGGAAGTACAAGAGACGCCGTTCCAGTCCATGCAGAGCTATCACGCACCGGTATGAGCTAGTTTGTACTCATTATATATACTGACATTAATGTGTTGAACGACTTTCCCCTTGAAAGGCATTTGTGTGCAGCAATTTTACTACGATTGCGGCCTGCAAAGTCAATCGAGGCAAACCTGATATCGGTAGGGACGTGCAGGCGATGAAGCAGCTCGGAACATATTACCAGCACCGTCGGACAGTATTGTAGCAGTTAGTGCCACTTTTCTGACCTTGCCGCGATCCGATCCGGATCTGTCGTCCAGCTACTACTACCTAGAGCGCTATCGTAGTATCGAACGGAGATCGTGGCTGAGTGTCCATTCTCATGTTCAATGTAAACATGAGCTTACTCCACCGCAGTGTAAGTCTGATCCATGCACTAAAAGTGCGCCATCTCGTGCGTTCGGCCAAGGTGAGCCTTTGTGCATCCCTTGCATAATTGTTTGCATCTCGCCGAGTCCAAAGTGATGATACTGATAGACGCATGTACAGCCTTCACGCAGCTTTACCAAATGGTATAGCTCGTCTACTCTCGCTGCCAATCGTTGTTGCAGAACTTCATAGTACAAACACTTGTTCATTTTCACTGTCGTGTCGAACAGTGTACAGCAGCTCGTTATTGACATTGCAGGCATCCGACACGGACTTTCAGAAAAAAGTCTCAATTAGAAGAGCGGAAGTGGCTGGATGGAACAAGCCCACCCGACCGTTTCCGCTTTTCACTGCTGAGCCGCGGGTTGTTGTACTTAGCACTTGGTGCCGTGACCAATGGGGCAACATCGCGTTAGAGTGCATGCCAAGGTTCCAGGCTGCCACTGCTAGGCGAACATAACTTCCAACCATAGCAAAAGTGGCACGGGTCTTACGTATTCCGTCAGCGCCCTAAGTACCACCAGCTCGATCACGACGCTAGCAAGCTGCATCATGTAACCTTCGTGGAAACGAAGCAGTAGTCGTGATACGGGACAAAAGTTCACTTTATAATTCCGACAGGTGGCAGATCGGAACAACGATCTTAACGTCTATGGAACCTCCCGATTCCAGGCACTTGAACACTTACTAGAATTCCTCCTTCGATTCGATCAAAAGAAAGACCTGGCCTTTGTCTCTTCAAGTTCGCTCACGACTTTGCAATCGGTTCTGACTCTATCCGTCAATGAGTCGCTCCTTCGTGTGGTCGTCAATGAGCTTTCGCGGTTTATCGACTGATTCCGTGTGCTCTCTCTCTAAAAAGACCATCTCAGCCTTGATGCAACAGCCGGGAATATACCAACCAGCTACTTTCACCGAAACCACTTGCTCGATCGAACATTGTTGCACTGGATACTACGTCGCATTCAATTGACTTACCCCTTTAGCCCAGTGCAATTCAAACAACGAAGATGCATGCTCACGTAACACTATGCCGTATTCGCTTCGGAGGACCTGCACTTGCTGTGCGACGGCAGCCCTACCATGCGGAGATCTCTCTGCATTCAGTCACTACATCCTTCATGGGCGTTATACAGTATCGACACAACCACGTGGCTCACATGGACGCGAGTATCGATGCACCTCCATTTAGATAAACCAGTCCGCGATAACTTCAGCAATACCTACGACCACTAGTCAGCTAGCGACCTCGAGAATCGCTTTTTTGCGTCTGAAATAAAAACAAAACTAGACTTGGCACGACCGCGTCGGTCAGAAACCAGTCGCGACACGAGTTGACTCGGACTCGGGTGTGGTACACTCCCTCCGTCCGTTCGGTCTCTACCCGTCGACACCTTGACAGGGGTAGGGCCCGTCGCTCATTGGTCATAAGACGCTTCCGTGAGTTTTCCACCTGTTCGCTTGCTCGCGCACTGCCCCTTTTCTTCTCCACGTGTCGGCGACACTCCCATCGAAAACGAGTCAGTCGCGACGTTTTTGTGAAAAACACCACCGACACACAAACTGCCGCGCCCCGGCCACTCCCAAAAGTCGACATTTGCACCAAAAATAACACACCCGCCAAGAGACTGAGCCCGAGCCCGAGCGAGTCTCCCGTCGTCGTCCACGTTCCCGCAGTTCACGACGCTGCGCTGTACAGAGCGAGCGCGTGAAGAAGCCGAGAACAGTCCAAGGCGCTTCGACCACGCGACTCCGAGCGCGTCTCGTTCCTTCTAGCGATGGCGCAGCGCGGGGACAAGGGCCCGAAAGGCGAGAAAAACGGGTTTTTTCGGAAAATGTACTCGTCAATCAACAATTCGTCGCGGCAATTGGCCGTTCATCGACAGGAAAAGGGCCAGCGCAATGAAGCGACAGGGAGTGCCAGTGGCACTAGCAATAGCGGTTGCCAGCCCAGTCACAACAGTCCGAGCGACGGGGCCACGACTGGCAGCGGCCACAGCGGGGGAAGCAGCAGCTCGAACGGCGGTCTGCAGCACTTTGTCAAGCACCACAGTTTTAATGGCCATATGCCGTTTGCAAGGGACGAGGCGCAGCAACGGCATGCGGCAGGTGATTCGCATCAGAGCATGCTGTCCAAGCGTCCGAGTTTGATTGTGCCGTTTTCCACGCAACAGCAGCAGATGGGACTCGGTGCTGCTGCAGCTGGTGGTGGTGGCGGTGCTGGTGGTGGTGGTAGTGCTGGTGGCTCTGGTGGTGTTGTGGTTGAAGGCTCGCAGACGTACTTGGACGACTTCCAGGCGCCGATTTCCAAGTCGGGCGTGTTGATTAAACAGGCCAATCACTTTAAAACATGGAAGAAACGACTGATGGTGCTGAAAGGCCATTCGCTGTTTTACTACGTGTCGGGCACGGTACGGATAAAAGGGTGGCCTTGACGAGGAAAGCATGGTGAACTAACTGGATGGTTCTTGTTTTTATTGTCGTTTTTGTTGTTGCAGTCTGGTGAAGACTCGTACCCTCGTGGTGTTATTCCGCTCCAAGGGGTGCGCATTACGCCCGTGGACTCAGCGCGGTTCAAGCGACAGAATTGTTTCGAGATTTGTCACCCGGTGCGTGCTATGTGCTCGTTTGGGATAGATATATGTTCGGGAAATGACTAACAGTTTGTTGTGACTGCAAATTAGGGATATCGTCCTATTTATCTGATGGCCAAGAGCGAGGCGGATTTGAGTGTTTGGATGAGTAGCTTGACGTCTGCTGCAATGGCTACGACGGCGGACCGTAAGATGTTGCTTGTGACTGAACCGCTTGAGTCGCTGTTTAACACGCCAGCGCTGGAAGACGCTGTGCCGTACAAACGGACGTTTTACTTCCGTCAGAAGGTGGCATTCTGTATGCCACGAAAAGAAGATACGGGATACACAGTCGTGGATCTTTTCGATTTGAATGAGAAGCGGTTGACGACGCTGTGCGACTTGAACAGCTACTGCGACTCGTTTCCCATGATCTTGGACGATCCACAGCTTTTTGTCGAACTGCTGCATGTTGTGGGTTGCTACATTTTCCGGCCTTTTGCTCGGCTGCAGTCGACTTCGCCTGGTAATATCTTTGTGGAAGAGCCGAATCCCGATGAGGCGGGTGTGCTCGAGAACCCGATGGATAAATACTCGGAATACACGACAGAAGAGCAGTTGTGGGGGCTATTATCAGCGTGTTACGACCTGCTGCTGAAGGCAATCGAGCACATTGACAAATTAGAAAAGCACGTACGCAAGGAGTTTTTTCCCTTGCGGTTTATTGCGCAGCTGGTAAATCTGTTCAAGACGCCATCATTCAAAGAACGGCAAGTCTTGAAAGGCGTGCTTCATCGACTGTATTATAAACTAACTCAGCGGCGGTCGGCTATTCGCAAGGAAATTGCCAATACGTTTTACGAGTATATATATGAGACGTCGAACCATTATGGCGTGGCAGAGCTGCTGGAAATTCTAGGTAGCATCGTCAACGGCTTTGCATGCCCGATTAAGCAAGAGCACGTGGTGTTACTGGAGAAAGCGCTGATCCCACTGCACTCGACACCTGCTTTCATCTCGTATCACCAACAGCTCGCGTACTGCATGATTCAGTATGTGTCGAAAGACCACACTCTGTTTACTTCGATCGTCCGCGGCTTGATCAAATTCTGGCCGGTAGGTAACTCGTTCAAGGAAGTTATTTTCATTGTGGAGTTTGAGGAGATGCTGGAGCACGTGCTGGCGGAGACGGATTTCGATGTGATTGCGCCCAAACTGGCACGGAAGCTGGGGCAGTGTATGGTGAGCGATCAGTTCCAGGTCGCCGAGCGTTCGATATCGTGCTGGAGTTCTCCAGCGTGTTTGCGCATCATGAACGAGTACGAGAAGTTGGGGCAGGGTATGTTTGATGTGATCAAGCCGTTCTTGAAACGAGCGATGGCAGAGCATTGGAATACGCTGATTCAGCAAAAGGCTCAGGAGACGTACACCATGTACTACAACATGGGCTACGACAGCGACGACGCAACTGCTGCATCAGTAGCCCTTGTCTCGGAGGGGAAAGTATTGGATAGCAGTGTCAAGACTGAGGAGTCAGACCCGGACGAGGATGTTAACAATTCTAGCGAAGCGAACGTGTCGATAGCCGTCCGCTTGTCAGCACCAAGCGCAGTAGAGTCATTAGATGTAGTGCTGTCAGACGAAGAAGGTGAAGATGAAAAGCCTGACGCGTTCTAGAGAGTGCAGCGGGGCAATAGTCGAAGGATGCGATGCGATAGAGACAGCCAGGTCAGCTCAGGCAGTACAATAGGCACAGTCCGCCGCGCCACCTCAGCTCCATTCTCCCGACGCAGCGGCAGCAGCTACGGTATGCACGGAGACAGACACACAGATCAAGATGGATGATTAAAGCAGGTACACGGACGAGAATAGTGGGCAAGGACGAGCAGCAAAAGCAGCCGACAGAATGGGGAGCTAGTGGTACCAAAAGCGACGGATGAAGGCGCAACGAGTGTAGCCGTGGCAGCAGTGGATGGATGATGAACAAGTGCAAGTTTTGGCTATACGTTGAAGTGTGTCAATCGGTACGGCAGCTGGAAATCGAGATGGTGGCGATTGCAGCACGACTGCGTCAATGAGGCGTACGTTTCCAACAAAGGAGCGAGCGAGCAACCAAAACGCTTTGTACCCTTCTCGTCGACGTCGTTTCTCGCTCTTCCGCGCGTGGCTGTCGCGTGTCAATCAATACAAGTCCGACCTGCTCGTTCCTCGTCCCCCCTCGTTGCATGCAAACGAACTCGCATGCAAAAACCGCATCGTCCGTAACCTAGAACCCCCTCCTTTGCTAGTCATTCACCCAATTTTCTCGTCAGTCAGATATCCCATTACCGTCGTCCAAACCGCGTTTAGCTTGAGATATCCCACTAAAGTATTTGTCAAAAGCACGTTTTCCGTCAGATATCCTCATGACTCCATCCAATATCCAGCTTCTCCTGCTGCTGTTGCTGCACCTCCTGTCGGTTACAAGTGCCCCCTCCCCCTCCAGTCCACCAAAGCTCCTAACCGATCACCCCTGCCATGACCCCAGACCAATGGCTCCGCTTCCTCGTCACTCTTCGGACACTGCAGCAGCACCAGTGACCTGTGCAGCTGTCAGCGATCCTTTACGTCCTGGGTTGACCATCGGTGGCTACGAGTTGATCGAGCGTTCCGAGCTCCTGGGTGTATGCAAACAGGAACCGACTCTATGGCCTGTCCAGACTCGAGACAAGATGGAGGTTGTCGTCCAGAGACCTTTTCAAAAAGAGCCGATGCTTGTCTGCCCGCTTCCAGGAGCTGCTGGATTTCAGGTTCCCCCACTTCCCCAACCGCTTACGGACGTTGGCAATCGAGAGGAAGAGAGTCCGGAAGGACCGGTGCTCGAGTACTACTACGACATCGAAGAGGCGGAACGGATCTACGTGAACGCCCATTATCGGCTCAAGAAGAAGTTTGATGCAGGGTCGCACGGCGAAGTTTGGCGAGCAACGCGACGTCATGCACGGGGTCACCCCCAGGAGCACTTTGTGCTCAAGAGACTGTTCCTCGAGCTAGGAGAGAGTATGGTGCAAATGGGGATGCGGGAAGCGCACTTTGGAGAGCTCCTGCGGACGGAACCTCACGTGACTCGCTTTGTCGAGTATTTCTTCCGATCTAGAGACGTGATGGAGGAGAAGGAAGAGGGCCGAGCTCAAGTGACACCTGAACTCTGGCTGGTATTTTATGATGAAGGCAAGTCGTTGCGGCAGTATTTATATGAGAAGTTACAAGTCGTGAATGGTCATGGCCATGGGGATGCCGGTGTGGTTTTGCAGCCGTCCCCGTTTTGGAAGAAACTTCGTGCGGACGGTCGTGGGGAAAGCGCGTTGCGGGAGATCATGTGTCAACTGCTGCAGGTGGTAGCAGCTTTACATGCACGTGGCATTACGCATCGGGACATTAAACCGTCGAATATCCTCGTGTCGATCCCGCCATCCACGTCGATTACTGCGACTCCATCAAAGCCAGTGGTCAAGCTGGCTGACTTTGGCTCGGCAGTTGATGACTATACGCTGCGTAACTTGTACGCCGCACCTGGTGGCAATGGTGCTGCTGCAGGACCCTCTCAAGCTGAAGAGACACGAGAGTATCAGCCACCTGAGGTGTTATTCAGCGACAATGGGCAGCCGTACGATTATACCGCTCCTGAAGCCTACGATCTCTGGTCTGTCGGTGTCGTCTTCCTAGAGATGGTCCTGGGCTCTCCGCAAGTGTTCCTGATCTCACCTCGTGAACGAGCCAAGCTGGACGTTGTGCTCGATGCCCAACGTCGAACTTATCGACAGACACATGCAAGGTATAGCACAAGCAGCAACGAAGCGGATGTGGAAACAAGATGGCGCACGAAAGCTTACTTGCTGCACGTCCTTACGCACGAGTTCTGCATCTTTCAACCAGCGCCACAACAGCTACGTTCGTTGTGGGACAAGTACGCGCTCGTGAGCGAAAGCTGTCATTTCGGACGGTTCAACCAGACCGTCATCGAGAGAGACCCGTTGAAGCGTGGACTGGAAGACTCGTGGGGACTCGACCTGATGTGGAAACTGCTGCAATGGAATCCCTCGGAACGGATTCCAGCTGCCGAGGCACTGCAACACGCGTATTTCCAAGGACCGTACGTCTGTCGGCAGTCCGGTCGTCAATTTGCCACGCGCCAAGAGCTTTTGCTGCATGGACGCTATCTCGAAGCTCAACGAGCACGAGAAAGTGTTTTTGCGTCCATGGTACGGGCCAAGTACGAGCTGCCTGACCGCTTTAGTTGCTTGCATTGTGGCCGTCAATTTGCCACCGCACAGAGCTGTGAACAGCACGTTTATGCCCGTCGACACGATACCGTGTCAAGTTTCTGTGCGTTCGAAGACCTCGAGATTTCCTCGGCGATTCAAATGGAGTCACAGCCGCTGTACGTCCATCCAGTTCTTGAAGAATCAGCAGTGGGCATTGCATTGTTTCAAGGTCGGAAGAAGTTCATGGAGGATTTCGTCCTGGTGCTCTCGGAGCAGCAGCTAAAAGAGTCGTGCGTCCAAGATGGCACAACTGCATTGGGGTTTGATCTCTACGCTGTGGTGGATGGCCACCTTGGCTCTGCAGCAGCGACGTTCGTAGTGGAGAACCTGCCTCATGTCTTGTGCCGCCACTTTGCTGCCATTGCCAAGTCAAGTGAAGACTCAACTCCATTGGACGTGAAGGTGTCCAGCAGCACAGCAGGTAACACCAGCTCGGCCAGACAAGAACTTGCTGAAAAGTTCGCCCTACGTCAAACCTTTCTCGAACTGCACGAAGGCTTCCTCGACTCTCTGGAAAAAGCTGCATCGCCTACTGCTCAAGGTCGTAACAACTCGGCAATAGCTGGCGAGGATTTCTCAGGATGCACGCTGACGATGGTGCTCCATTTCCGTCACCAGCGACGTGTTGTTAGTGCAAATGTAGGTGACTCGCGAGCTCTGGCCTGGCTTCCAGACACCTTGGTGACGCCTGACGGACCACGTGACCATTTTGCTCATATCGTTCCTTTGAGTATGGATCACTGGCCAAATGATCCAGGAGAGCGTTCCCGAATCGAGTCCAGTGGCGGGTTTGTCGAGTTCTCTGGGCTATGGAGAGTCGTGGGTCAATTGGCAGTCTCCCGTAGTCTAGGAGATCGTCATTTGCGCAAGTTTGTGACTGCGGAACCCTCTGTCTTCCATGCACAGCTTGATAGCAGCAAAGGTGGTGGATACCTTGTCATTGCTAGTGACGGTCTGTGGGAAACAATGAGCACCGACGACGTCGTGCGGTTCCTCAATGAGCGACAACCAAACGGACCTGGACGAGAAGGGAACCGAACGCACGATGAGGCTGCGACATTAAATGACCTGGCAACTAAACTCCTGACCGAAGGCTACGTCCGTGGAAGTCTCGATAACATGGCGCTCGTGCTCGTCTCCCTGCCTTCATAATCGAAGGGAGTGATGATCAAGCCGTCTCTTTACTTGGCATCCCCAAAGCGTTGAGCTTGCTGTCCGTACTGGAAAAGCACCTTAATCACTCGATCAATAGACGGCACGAGCACATCGGCATCTTCAGCGAGATCATCGAGCGACGAGGCACCACCGAGCACACCAATGGATAACCCACAGCCTGCATTCTTGCCCAAGAGCATATCCGTGGACGTATCGCCAACCATAATGGTATTATGTGGCTCCACGTCAAGCTGCTGACAGAGGGTCCAGATCTGTTCACCCGCAGGTTTTGCAGGCAGTCCGTCATCTCCGCAGGCCAAAGCATCGACCATGTCATAGACCCCCAAGTGCTTCAAGGTATCAATGGTTGGCTGGCGGTCATCTGTCGTACAGACGGCGATTTTCATGTCAATCTTCCGGATGGTCCGAAAAAGGGCGGGGATATTAGTCAGTGGTCGACTCGTGAGCACGGGATCCGGCATACTCCAGCACTGTTGAATAACTTGATCCGCTTTGGATTGAAGCATGCCTTCAGCTACAAGGACCCGCACGGCGAGTTTATAGAGCTCACCCATGGGCGTGCAGCACAGCGCTCCTTTGGACTTGATCGAGCGACTGATCCAGTCGTACCCCATGGCTTCAAAGAGCTTTTCCCGAACGGGTAAGTTCGTGGTCATTTCAACTTGCCATGCTTGGGATTCGACCCAGCCGCCCCACATGAGCGTAAAGTCAATGAGGGTCCCATCTTTATCAAAGATCACGAGGCCCGGGCGACACCGGGGACCACGGGAGCGTGCAGCTTGGGCAATGCTAGCTGCACTTTCAGCTGCGGTGCTTTTAGACCGGTTACTGCTGTGAAAGGTGGAAATGAGGGAACGGGTCTGGAAGACGCGAGACGAAAGGGGGGAACGAAGACATCGAGGCAAGGTAGACGTCATAATGGGTTACTGCTTGGAGCTTGGTGTACGTAGAGGGGGGAGGAAGGGAATGGAGAAGCTCGAGGGAACCTTGCACAGCTTTTCGCGAATCTTTTGATCGTTGACTGACTCAGCTGCGACCTGAACTTGAATGAATGCAGAGGTTGGAGACACTGAAAGTGATGGGGTTCAAGGTCGATACAGATGTCAAGTGTGACGCGTGGCTGCTGGGGCCAAACGGGCTGCCGCCTTCCTTCGACTCGCTGAAGTGAGGAAGAAGAACCGATTGTCAACTAGAACCACGTAGCCGGGAGCTCTCAATGGCGACGTCGACACTTTGAACGATTCGAGCCATGGCTTTGTATACGGCAGTAGCGAGCGCAAGGAGGTTAGAAAGTCTGAAATCATCGCCTACTGAGACTTCCCGCAATCTTTTGTTCCAGTTGTCGCAGTAGCACGAGCACCTGCGTCCATTCCACGCCGCTGACGAATTCTGTGGTCGTCTTCCACACTGTCCAGAGACGTCATTGTCGTTCTCCGGTCTTTGCATCCCCCGCTCTCACTTCTGTCATGAGTACTATCGCTTCAGTGCTGAGTAGTGAGTATTCGTTCCAACGCACTTCAATCGCTCGACTGCAACAACCGCCAGTGTGTAAGCGTCAGACCAAGAACTTGGTTGATCGCGCTTACCTTAGAACGATATCTGGTCATGCGGTCACTCTACGAAGCTTCCCTCGCATGTGAATGAAAGAGGGTCCAATCACTTATTGGTAGCACTCTAGCGCCACGTAGCTGCAGTTGCCACCGGATGATACCAGCTACCAACACATCGGGCTGTAGGCGTGTAACATCGACGTAGTCACCACACGAGTGAAGCCTTTTCCCGTCGATCGTGTAAGCTGGTTCATCCGACACGGTTCCTACGAAGAAGAAGAGGAAAAAGCTTCAGCGCATGGGTTTTCCACTTCGTTGCAACGCAATAGAGAGAGAAGAGATGCGAGCGACCAGCTCGATAATCTCACGAGAAGTGCCAAGCCCCTGCAGGAATGACAACCACGTCGCATTGCACGTGCTTGCTGCGGCAATAAACAATGAGCGATACGGACATGTGGGACATGTGCATTGTCGAAAGGCAGCACTAACGAGTGCACAAGCACGTAGGTAATGTGTGCGACGAGGTGAATGTCACTTGACCACTCTGATTATCGCACTGCTGTGCTCCCATCGTATGCTTGACGCAAACCCACGAGCATCCGTGGATCAGACTTCGTCGAACGACTTGCAGCAGGAAACAGCCGACGGCAGCTGTCAAGAGCGTTTTCAGCCGACATAGTTGTTGTTGTCATGTCCGTCTATTAACATATGATTATGCTAAAGATGTCTGAAAACTTCTAAGCCAGGACAATAGCTCCGGAACTGGTAGCTTGTCGTGGCTGTCACCTAAAGGTATCGGCTTATCCCGAGGTTCGAGAATAAAGAGGTCGATACAGGTATGCATGATAGCCCCGGTGACAGCTGTGGCGGGACCGCGATGTTCGCGTTTTGCTAACGCGGTAAGATGTCGAATTCCCAGCGCCCAAAAACGCGCGGCGCTGTGGAGAGGCGTCGACTGCACTCCTCGAAAAACCGCGTCGTTCCGCTCATTCCATAAGTGAGTCAGACAAATGCTGCTCATAATAAACCAGAGACGCTTCCAAACCGCGACACCAGCCTCTAAGTCCTCCGGGAGCATATGGTAAATCCGAAGACGCTGCTTGGACGGTATCTCCGGCGCGTGACGATTCACACTCCCGACGAACCAACGCTCTTCCCACGGCCTCCCAGCCCGTTCACCTGTCCAATGGGTAATGAGTTGACCCCAGCACGCGCGCGCCTTGGGGCAGTCCCAAAAGATGTGAGCCGGCGTTTCTTTGCAACCGTGACACGCCAATACCGCCCGGCAACTATTGTCCGCCGGACGGCCGGCATGGTACAAGTTGAGTTGTTTGGTGGCTATACGGTAACACGTCCAGACCTGATGGTCGGAAAGGCCATTGTCATGCTTCCAAACGTGTGCCGGGTCTTGGTTTGCGGCAGCCCGCTGCCACTGATCGAAGTCACAGACGGCCTCCAGACGCCGCACCAGCGGTCGCAATGCGACTGCAAGAAGTCTTTTGTGAAACGTGAACGCCAGGCGTGAAATAGCTTTTCGTATAGCTAAGTTCGCGACCGACTCGGCGACGGCCCAAGGAAAGCCATGATGCCCGGGATGGGAGTAAAACACGACGCCGTGACGACGCAAGCGTAGGGCCCAAACGGATCTGTCCTCGTCCGAATTAGTAGATAACTCTGGTAGGTGAGTGGTGAAAAACCAGCGAATTCCATCCGCACTCTGCTGCAGTTCAACAGGCTGGTCAGCGACTTCCAAGTACCCCTCTCGCCTCCCGACCACTCGACCTTGTTGGACCGAGGCCCAGGTCCATTCATGTCGAAAAGGTGGTGCATGGCGAAGAACCAGCTCAGGTTCGAGCGCTAATTCGCCCCCAATGGGGAACGTAGGGGATGCCAGCAAGATTGCCGTCGCCCACCGACGGAGTTTAGGCTGCGAGTGGTGAAAAGATCGGGGTCCAACCGGCTTAATGCGAAAAATAAATTCAGTTGGCCCTGTTCGCCGAATGTGCAGGTCCGAGATGGGGCAGATGGCGATCCTGTCATAGGTAGCGGATTTTAACGAGAGGCCATTGCCGTCCTGGATCCACGGGTTATTACTCCAGCCTAGTGTCCCCCAAAAGCGATGAATCGCACACTGTTGAGGATCGAGCGCAGGTAACCCAGCCGGGAAAGGGTGATGATACGACAGCACCCATTCCTCCTCCTCCCACCAGCTACTGGCGCCGTGGAGGATGGGGTGGTAGTACGTTCGTACCCGCTCGCTGAGAATGGTGGCTTGCTCTACCGTAGGGTGTAGAAGCTTGTCAACGTCCGGTACCCATGAATTTGGGGACGGTGCCCCGACACACGATGCAGCCCCAGCTGCCTGCGTCCTGCAATGGAGAACCAGACTCGAATTTGTCGGCCGGCCTTGATAAGCCCACGCACTCCAGGCTCCAAAATACTTGTCCTGAGCTTGTGTGAGCCACTGTAAAGCGTGCTTGGTACGCTGCGTTTTAATAGCCACCTCCAAAGAGGCCAACCCAATCCCCCCTGCCTTTTTGGGGGTGAAAAGTAGTCCCGGGTTAATCTTGTGTCGGCTGGCTTCCGTTGAAGTCGCATGAGCCCATAAAAATTGTTTGTACAGGTTGTGGACAGCAAGTCGTGCCCACTCAGGCATATCGAACACCGCCGCCGTGAACAGAACAGACGGGAGAATGATGGAGTTGAGGATCAACACCCGATTCGCCACACTGGTCGCCACCCTGGAAGCTGTCATTAGCCTCCGTTGAAGCTTCCGGATACGAAGCGCCCAGTTGCAATTGTGTAAGGGTCTCAGTCCTACTTGATAGCCCAGGTATCGCACCGTGTCCGCATGTTGAAGGACCGGAATGCCCCGCATATCGGCTACGTGCACAGCCCGATTAAGACAAATGATCTGACTCTTGGAGGGTTGGGCAACTAGCCCTGATAGGGTCCCAAATTGAGAGAGAAGAGCTATCGCTGGCTCTAGCTGACTGGCCTTCTCGAGAAAGATCGTCGAGTCATCCACAAATGCCGAGAAAACGTGCGTTGCCGGATGTCGTCCAGGGACAGGAAGCCCAGACAAATCTGGTGATTGCTGTACCGCAACGCCCAATATCTCCACCACGACGAGAAAAAGCAAAGGGGCGAGTGGACAGCCTTGCCGGATACCGGAAACGACGGAGATGGGACGAGACTGTTCCCCATTTACAAGGAACGCGGCCGAAGTACCAGTATGTAGACGAGTTATAAGCTGAACATACCTTTCCGCGAAACCAAATTGGCGAAGAGCCTCATACAGGAATTCGCGATCGACCGTGTCATAAGCCTTGCGGAAATCCAGTAGGAGGATCACTCGGCTGTCGTCGGCGGATGTAGTTGTATCCGATGTTGCTGTCGCCAGTTGAGCGAGCATCATCAACACTAGTTTAGACATCTGGCGTCCGTGTACGAAGCCTTGCTGCGAGTCACCAATGACTTTTTGGTAATACGCGTTGCAGTCGTGTTGCCAGCACTTTCGCAAAGATCTTGTAGCTGGTTTGGAGTAGAGAAATCGGTCTGTAATCCATCGCATCCGCCGAGTCTCCCTTTTTCGCAAGGGTATGATCAAAGCTTCGAGAAATGAAGGCGGGGGATCAGCTCCAGCCAAAATTTGATTGCTGAGCTGGACCAGGGCGGGGACAAGAAGTGCAGACGTATCCTTGTAAAAATCGTTGTTGAGCCCGTCCAGTCCCGCCGACTTATGTCGACTGAGCCCAGAAACGGCTGCAAGGACTTCCGCTTCCGAAAAATCAGCCAAGAGAGCCCGGTTGTCGGCAGAAGACAAGACTCGGTCTGTGGGTAGATTGACAAAACGGCGAATGGCTGACGGCAAGTCCACTCTCTCCTCCTGGCAATGAACTTTGCCAAGGACTGTAGACCATTCGGAGGCAAATTTATCCGCATTAGTCATATCCCGGGTAAAATGCGGGCCGTGGATGCGCGAAATTGTTGTGACTGTTTGATTGCGTTCCCAGTCGGCAACCCGCTTGTAAAAATAGCGCAACTGGTCAGCCGTCCTGGCGAGCTTCTGGCCCAGTCGCACCAGATGTTCCTGCCGTAATTCCTCCATATTGCAGGAGATAAATTGCGGCCGGGTCAGGAGAGGTCGCCGAGCTCTGCCCTGAATCTTCCGACGAAATCGCGCTCTGCGCTGTTTGACCCGCTTCCGGATGCGTCGAACGCACTGTTGACACTCTGTGACATCCGCGTCCCAAGTGAGGGTAGAAACGCTCTGACCTATAGCCCTTCCGTCCATTTCCGCGACGAGTTCGTCAACGATCCTGCCAGGGTTCGATGAATGAATCGGATATGTTACACGCCCATGCCGGCATGACGAACGAGGTTTGTTCAGGTCACGTAGGTGTAGCACAACCTCCTGATGGTCCGACTGATTGGATGGCACCCGCGCTTCAATCCACAGCACGCGACCTACCCACCCCTCAGGCACATAGAAACGATCGATGCGACTGGCACGGTCCCCATTCCAGTAAGTGAAATGATCAGTAGGATCGCCAGTGCCCTCGTCATCCGCATGATCCCGAAGATCTCTCGCATCCGCCAAGCCCAGTGTCGCAACTGCCGCGTCCAGGGCAGGGCTTTCCGATCGGTGCGATCGGTAACTGCCGTACCGATCGAGGAGAGGGCACTGGACGCAGTTAAAGTCGCCCGCCATAATAGTGTTGGAGGCCATCAAATTCCAGCTGAGAAGGGAAGTAAAGAAGTCTTCCCGTTCACCTCGCAGTGTAGGTGCGTACACATTGATCAGAACATCCTCCCCAATGGAAATTGCGATCGCCCGGGGTGACCAGCGTTCCGGTTCCCAGGCCGAAGCTGTACGAGCAGAATGAGGGGTAAGAAGAATGGCAACACCAGCACGGCTAGAAGAGCCAATACTCCAGAACGATAGAGGAGGAGCGTCAGGATCCAAGTGTTGACCCCATAACTGAGCCCACCTGGAACTCAGCCTACCCGCCTCTTCGTCAGTATGTACATGCGTCTCCTGAATACACCAAGCCTGCGGGCGACGGATCTGAGGCGCACTACGCCACGCCGACAACCACCCTTCCCGAGCGCTAGCCTTGAAGCCCCTCACGTTTTGAGAAATAAAGAGCCTGTCCCCACCCCGAGAATCCAGTGGATCAACTGCTGAAGTCCAGGACGGAGACCAGTCGTGAAGTTTGCGATGCCGGCTGTAGGCGTCAGCTTCCTCAAAGAAAGGAACTTCGGGGCTGAAGACGAAATTCTGCTGTAAGCTGCCCTTAGTACTCGAGGAGGAACCTCTGCTCTGCCGGGGCCAAAGCAGTAGTAAAATAGCGAACGAGCGCAGTCCAGTCGATCGGAGCATCCCCGTCTGGGTAGTACGTATCCTTGTAGGTACTATTGGTCCGAAGTAAGCGAAAGTGGCAACGGAGTTGCTCGGGAGGGCGTACTGGCTTTCCGCCAGTCCCCGTCAGAGCAAAAATCTCGTTGTCGAACACGATGGCACACATGAGGTGGTGACTCATTCGGACGCGTCTGTGCGGGTCACACAATCGTAAAATGTCGTCCCCCGCATAGTTAATCCCTCGCAACTTTCTCCAATCGTCGGAATTGTCAATCAGAGGGGCCAGCAGAGACGGCGAAAGGCGCTGCTGCGATCGAGCAATCCATTGGTCGAGCCAAACACCCGTGGGTAGCTCTGTCACTCGCTGTCGGAATTCTAGGAGCCCGGATAATAAGCACTCCTGGCGCCACAGCGCCGTCCACTGTACAAAAACTGTGTCGGACAAGCTAGCAAGTACTTCGTCTGGAAAGACGAAGCGGCGCAAGTGATGTAGTAACAATTCCGGCTCCAAACGAGCCGTAGCCTCCCACCCGTTGGAGTCTCCATATACTAGAGGATACGGAGTTGCTGCTGACGGCGGCCATTCGGCTCCCAGATAACTCCAGAGCTCTGGCCATTCGTCCCGATCGATTCTGTCGTCCGGCGCGTCTAGTGAAGATTTCCGAAGGGCTGAACGAACCCGACCTTTCTTGTGGCGAGAGCCGATCGGAACGACAGCACCTGGATCCGCAGACGCCGCCAGGAGCGGGGGAGAGCCGCCGTGGCCCCGTTTCCGCGCCGCAGAGGCCATCCCGCGTTCGCGACAGCTGCTCGAAGTAGAAGTTAAAGCCAATTGACCAGAGGGTTGTGCCGAGGTTCGAGCGACCGCGTCTCCAGCGTCGTAAAGGACGATCGACGTCCGGTCACCGCTGTCAGGAAGGAGTTTGTCGTCTGAGGGCAGTGCTGAAGCGCTTTTCTCCTCCAATGGTACCAACGCTGTGGCTCTAGTGTCCCCGAAGGAGTGGACCGGATCCTGAGTCGACGCACTCGGCCCGTCCTGGGTATCGGTAAGGTTTAACGGATCGGCCACTCCCCGCTGAATGGAGAAATGCCGAGTAGTGGCTGCCGCCAAACCGCAACACTAACGGTAGAGCCTGACTCGCCCCGACTTTGGTAGCCTGCAGCTCGTCGATACACGCCATAATAGAAAGGGGGTACTCTTTTACAGAAGCCACCGCCCGTCCCCGTACAGTCATCGAAACGGGGTGATACTTGCGGCAACGCCACTGAGGGGTGGCTTCTTCGCGTTGAACGACAAAGATGTCTCTCTGTAAAAACGTGGCTGCCATGCCGAGTGTGTCACTGCCCCCCCAACAGTCCGTAGGCACATGCGAAGTTCGCCCCGATGGGGTGGCCGCGAAGTCCGTCAAAAACCAGCGGAATTGAGAAGCCGACTCTGTGCGCGTCATCGACGCCCACCCACGGCCCACGTTCTTAAGTGCCTGCACCCGCAAGTCGTGAGGGACCTGATCTTCCAAGTTCAAGAGTCCTGTACACGTGATACCTCGTTTAATGCAAGCCGTGAGAAGCTCCTGGTCCTTGGTAGGGGCGGTCAAGGCAGACTCAGCCACCGCTTGAGCAAGAGCTATCGCCAAACAATTGCCGTTCGCTGGAGTGTTTATTTCCCGAAGTCCCAGAATACTCACAAGCTCGCCCATGTGGATGGGTTCCGCTAACGGCTTAGGATCCATGGGTATCGAGTGACATTGCCGATCCGGCAGCAGCTTTAAAAAGCTTTTCGCAAGTCAGACGTTCCCGTCGCTGCTGGGTCAGGAGAGCCGGACCCGCGATAACTACCGCCGGGCCCCGAATACCGGCTGCTTGTTTCCGGGCCTGATCCTCCGGCAGAAGCCGAGAGTGGGACAGCCGTGCCGAAAAAGCAGGAGTCGAGGAGCCTCCAGTCCCCGGCTGCGGAGGTGCAGAGGCGACACTGCCTTCAAATGGGGAAGACGGACCCTCCTCTGCCCTATCATCCTCCTGGAGAACGTGATAACTCCCGCTGCTGACGTTCAGCTGAGGCGGGGAAGGCTGAACTGGGGGCCAAGGCCGACGACCCCCTCGAAGGGGGCGTCTCATCCATGGCTGTTCGGGCCGGGGTTTTGGGGCCGGAGGAGGCGGGCCCGCGTGCGCGACATGAGTAGTATACACCGATTGGATAGGTATACCTGTTGGCTGGGGCTCGGCGGCCGGCGGTGGACTGGAAGTGGCGACCAGTACCGCCGGAGTCACCGCAGCTTGAGCCGCTGCATCGGCTGATTGCTGCACAACCAGTCGTCGCTGCGCCATTTGCCGCATTTCATCAGGGCTACTAAACGGTTTGGCCAGATCTTCAACAGCTAAAAGCTCGGCTTCGTGGACCTCCAGCCCGCCCGGCCCCCGCAACTGCGCATCAGTAAACTGACACCTCGACGCCGGGTGGCCTAGCGTACCACATTGCAAACATTGGAGGCGACGGCCCACGTCCGGATGCCGGACGATAATGGGGGTCCCAAACCAAAGCAGTCTGACTACTCCTTGGAGAAAGGTCGGGCAACCCGCCAGATGAAAGGTGACTTTCCAGGCAGTGGACGTACGTGAGTTCGGGGTGCAGGTATCCATATCCTCCAGCTCAAAATCCGTTGGTATCTTGGAGCGGAGGTAGGCAGCAATGCGCCCAATATCATCAAACCGGGTGAGATTATACAGCAAAATGGTGTACGCTGCCCGAGGGTGGCTCGACCGCCCGTCTGGTCCCCGCTGATTCAACCAGACCGAGCCCCTGACCGGGTGATGAACATTCTCGAGCGTGTACGCCCTCCCCTGAAAAGGCACTACGACATCCTGGTGCGCCTTAGCAATGGCTCGCGTAAAGAAATAGAAGTGGATTGAACGGGTAGAACGATTGTAGCTTATCGTCTTGGCCAACCCGAGGAAACGGTGAAGATCCGGCAAGCAGACCCGCAAGATTTCCGCCGATTCCAAAATCTTCTCCGTAATAGCGTGGGTCGTCCGGCGTCCAATTGGGATATCACGACCATGTCTAAGTTGTAAGACTAACTGTCCCTCGACCTGCGCCTGAACAGTCCGACACAACCGAAGCCGCTCGTCGCTGTCGAAGACAGAATTGAGAAAATCAGGCAGCCGACGACAGGCAATAAGCCCTTCCGCAATCCCAATGATGATGCGCCATTCATCATCTGTACCCTCGCGCAGACGGTGAGTACCTGTCAAGTTAAGGCGCGTTGCGCAAATGGCTCGGAGCGTGGTCGTCTCTTCCTCCGAAAAAATGTGCCGGATCAAACATAAAGTCATCGAACACGGGACGCTGCTGGCCTGTCGTACTGGCAGGTGCAGCAGCACTGCCTGTCTGCACGACTTGAGACCACAGCCGCGGGATTGGAGCCACAGCCCATTTCTGTCGGCTGGCCAGCTTGCGCAAGATTTCTTTGAACGCCCACTTCGTGACGAGGATCTCCTTACTGATCTGGTGGGCTAAACGGGTCCAGTCGACGTAGCGGCCGGATGTCACAACAAAACATTGCTTAAACAAATCCAGCAAACTCACCAGCTCGGTACTTGTGAGCTTGGGATACCGTTTGCGTTCGGCCGGCAACGCGTCGAAGCTGACTGGAAGGCGGGCAAATTCCAGCGCAAATAACTCCTGGATGGTCTGGCGCCAGACATCTAGGTACGGGGGCCCCGAAGAAGCCTTCATCGCCGCGGTAAGGGCCTCAAACATGTCGCGCGGATGAACTGGGGGCGTGAAAGCCTGCGAAGGCGACGAGGAGGACTCGGAACCCTCCCCCGAAGCGCGCCCGGTGGGTCCGTCTTGCCGCGGCGTTACTGCATCTGTCTTGCCGCTACGCAGCGGCTGGTCTGCCATGGTGAAGGAAGCATCCCCTGCCAAGCCTGACTCCCCTAGCCACTGAGGGGGTCGGCATCTGAGAGTCCGCGAGAGGAGAAGATACGGCGTGCCCTGGAACCCCTGTCCCGTGAGCAGAAGATGCGGCGTGTACTGGAGCCCCTGTCCCGTGAGCAGCAGATGCGGCGTGTGCTTGAGCCCTTGCCCCGTTTGCAGAGGATGAGGGGCTACCAGCGGAGAGAGAAGGAGCCTTCTCCGGAGGCCCCGCGTCCTCCGGTAAGTCGAGGGCCGGGCTAGAGTTTCCCAAGTCGTCCGGCTGGCCCCTTGGCAAAGCCGCGTCCCCCCCCCTGTCGGGAGGGGGGCATGGTGGCGGCTCCAGAGCCGTCGTTCGAGAAAAGCTGGCTAACGCCAGTTCGTGTACTGTTTATACTCCCCCACCCAGCACTGCAGATTGAAGAGTGTTTTCAGCCGACATAGTTGTGCATCGAGCAGCAGCGTCCAGAAGCTGAAGCTCGTAAAGGCGCGAGGTGACTGATGATCAATCGTGATGAAAAGACGAGGCGGACTCGATGCACTGCTGGCGGTAGACACCAAAGCGGTCTCGTTCACTACCTCTCAATGATCTCTTCGCCTTCGAAGCGCCTCGCTTCTTCGACTGGCCTTTTCGTGTGCGCCGTCCCATCCCTCTCCATCACCGTCGCCTCGGATCTCGTGTCCTCTGTGTCCACGCTACGACTCTGCGGATTGGGGAACGCGCTGATCTCGAGCTGGTTTCGGGAAACTGGGAAGCGTGCACGGGTTTCTCGATACATGGAACCGACTGCACAACCGAAGCGCTTACTCCGCACAGAAGCGAGCGGACGCCTAATTGTGAACGCACGCAATCGGTCCGTTCTTTGCTGGCGTAGCAAAGAGCTGTCCACTGCATCCCCACGCGTATCGTCGGCACTGTGCTCGTTTACAGCTGACTGCTTGGTACAGCAGATCCAGTGGCGGTCATTGAAACACTGTGTTGAGAGCAAAGGAGAGAGAGCAAAGGAGAGAGAGAGAGAGAGAGAGAGAGGGAAAGACTCGTCGACTACGCAACCATTCCCGCTCCCGTTTGCTGATTGCTGGACGCGTTCGTCCGCTGCTGCATCTTCAGGGGATCTACCAGGTCATTCCAGCACGACCACGTATCCACAGCAGCATCTACGGCCAGCAATTCTCGCCCAAAGTGTGCTGTCTCGCTCCTCCGTACCTTCCCCGCCGTACAGCTGAAACCGAAAGTCGACGAGCGTCGATTGATACTAATCCACACGTTTCTTCCCAAACTGGTAGTTGCTCGTGTAGATCCCCGCCGCAGTTGTCCACGACGACCACCTCTCGCATCGAAAGATCTATTTGCAGGTACAACAACACCGTTACTTCTCATCACTCAGTCGCCGTCGTCCACGGCCTTGTAAGCGCTTTGCAGTCCACGCACGCTACAGCACAGCCCGTCACTCACCGTGTATTCGCGATACTCGCCAGTATCGCCCTGGATAGCATCGGTGCAACAGGAAGGAGTTACCGTCGACCAAGTCGCCAGGAACCCCGTTCGGTATCTGGCGGGAAACAGTGCGTACCCACTGACACGCTCTCGATGTCGCGGCTGTTGTGCTCCAGTAGTTGGAATCATTCAAATGATGGCACGACCGGTGATCGCCGTTTTGCCTCCTCTAGATACCGAACGACAAAAACATCGTGGCGCTTCTGCCAAGGTGATCTCGGCAGAAAGGCTGCCGCGATTACGCGTGCGCTGTTACATGTTACTCGCGGTTTACCGTGATCCGCCCAGTCGCGTCTCGTCTCTCGACACACATGGCTTCTTCGATGAGAGTCTTCGTCGTTACGCCGAGAGCTGGCGGGCGGGTAAGATCGCCGCGGAAAATTTGCCGCCCACTTGACAGACCCAGCCGCAGGCAGGTAGCAATCCGGTTGCATGCGCCCTGCAGCCAGCTGCGACCGATCATGGCTGTGTTGCCAGTACTCGAGCGCAGCACGTTGTACTAGCGGACTTTGTGTCATCAGCATCGACATCTGAGCGAGAAAAGAACTAAAACTCAGTCGACGTGCGGTCGTTTTTTTCTTCTGCGACAACGGCGTCGTGACTCTGAGACCGCTTGCATGGAAGCAACAACCACTGCTGTGCAGCACAGCGGTCCGTGCATTATCGGCTCAATATTTGCAGAGTCGAAGAAGAGGCAGACGTCGAGACTACGTTCGCGCGAGATGCAGCAGCGAAGGACGACAGCCAGAAATAAATAAGGCGGGAGGAGGCACGCGGATCGGGCGACGCATCGCTGCGGCTGCTACGGCTGCAAGTGCAATCGCATCGCTGTTCTGGTCGGTGCGAGCTTTCTGGATTCGCCGAAGCTTATCGCGAACCAGACCTTGTGGTGGCTACCAATCTGCAGCAGGAAGACCTCATTCTTCTGTTTTCGTGACACACTTGGGTCGACCGTGGCACCTGTTGGGTCGGTCCGTCGCACGTCGAGGGGGACGGTGCCATGCGAGGGCGCCCTGTCTGCCCACACGTCTCGTCTTTGATTCGGGATCGATCCATGCCGACAGACTGACCGACTGACCGACCGACCGCTCGTCAGACGGGCGAGACAGAAGATGGAGGGACAAGAGCCGGGCGCCGACAATCGAATCGCGACGTGGAACGGCCTACGCAATCCAGCAGCCCCCGTCTGTCTGTCTGAGTTGCAGAGCCAACGTCTGTCTGGGTCACAGAAGTTAGACAGCCAGACAGATGGACAGCGAGCTCGATCGACTGCAAGAAGGAGTGAGTGAGTGAATGAATGAATGTTCGACTGTTTGACTGGACGAATGTATGGAACGAAGGAAGGAAGGAAGGAATGCATGTATGGATATCGATCTGCGGCTGTTCCGTTTCAGCCAACCCCCCGGCGGTGTGACAATTCCGCCCACTTCGATCGCCGCCGCCAGCCGTTGCGCGCGGCCTGTTTGTGCCACCAGAGCCCAGAGCCAGGCCGTCGCCGCCTCACGCGCGTGATTTGTCCAACGTCGCTCGCTCGCTCGCGCGCGTTGCAGGCAGGCGGAGCTGGTGGATCTGGCAGGACGCGTGCGACCAGAAGCGCCACTCGGCGACGACTCGCTCGGAGCGGACGCCTTTTTTTGTCCAGGTCCCTTTCTTTGCCACGATGAGCCCACGCAGGAGCAACTACCATCGACCAGCAGAGGAGCAGACGAGGCAGACGAGGCAGTAGGAGGAGGAGGAGGAGGAGGCGCCAGTTCCACTTGGTCACAATTCCATTTGCCTCCTGGCCCTCAAGTGCGAGCTAAGAAGAAACAGTCGACTGAAGTCACTCAGTCGCTCACTCGGTCACTCCCTTCAGTTCAACCAACCAGCCAACCAACCAATCGACCAACCAATCGACCAACCAATCGACCAACCAATTGCCCGACCAATTGACCTATTGCCCGATCAATTGACATGTCCACGACGTCTTCGCCCGTTGCCGCTCCTCCGTGCCTCAAGACGCCCCGATCGGTGCAGTGCCTGGCCTTGTCGCCTCGCAAACGCAAGTTGAGCGCTACTGAGGCGGCCTCCCCCACGTCCCTGGACGAGGTGGCCACCAATGGCAAGTGCAAGTGCAAGACGCTCGGGGAGCACGGGATCTCGCCCAAGAAAAAGATCAAGGTCGAAGACCGAGGCAGCCACAGCCACACCAGCAGCTGTGACCTGCTCAAGTGGGAGAGCCACGTCGTGCCTGGCACTGTCGCCAGTGCTCTGGATCTGGACGCCATGGAGATGGCTGAACCCATTTCGCTCTTGGCGGAGCCAGCAGGCGACCTCCCGTCGGACGATTTGGAGCTGTTGTGTCGCTTCTTGGCCTGACCGTTGCAAAAACGTCTCGTCTGCTGCTGACGGTGGCAGAAGAAGCAGTCACGATTGCCGCTGCGTGCCATGAGCGGGTACAAGAGGGAGGTCCTTCTTCTCTCTGGGCAGTCCCTCGCTTCGCCACCTCGACGTCTGTCTCCTCGTGAGTCGTCAATCGAGGCAAAGCTTTTGGTAGCGCACAGCGGCGCCGCTGCATCCATCACCGATGCAACAATGTGCAGCGACCGAAGGGACGCGTGTCAAGTGCTCGAGGTGATTGAGACTCGCTCGTAGCACTCGGAGGACAGGAGCAGACGGTGGTCGCAGTAGTAAGTAGCAAGGAGAGGGTAGGAGTAGTAGTCATCGTGGTAGTGTAAAGCTGCGGCCGTTCTTGGCGTAAAGTGTTATTTAATCAGGACATTGACAGCCTCATCGTCTTTTCAGATGCGTTTTAGGCGTACCACTGCATGCACATGAAGCCTCACAGATGTCGCTTGGTTGTCTTTTTGGTCAGACAGAGGGTGTAGGCAGTTAGATTTACACATGCATACACATGTATGAATAGTGGACAGGCAGGCAGGCAGGCACACGTCAACGAGGTTGATGTCGGTACTATCGGCTCCTCCCCATCGACTCGGACTGCCCGCGCAACAACCGATTGCAGTGTTTCCACGTCTCGTGCGCTACCTCGCGCATCGCAACACTCGATCTTCTGCCCAGTCTTGTCATCCGCAGCTGCTACATGGCTGGTAGCGTAGTCCAGTTCCGTTCATTACACACTCTACCCTTCAATATTGGCATTGATGGGCATTGGGCGTGTGCAATTGTTTGCCACTGAGATTGTAGCAGAACCAGTCGACAAGACGACGAACGCGTTCGCTCGTCAATAGCGACCACCACATACGAGCGCCACTCTTCCCTTTCGACGCAGCGACATCGTCGCCCACCCGCTCTCTATTGCTTTGCAAGGCATCACAAACGCTGCATCCCGCGCTCTCTCTATCTCCTGACACTTGCTCCGTCGTCTCGTGCTCCTTGTCCCATCCTTCGGACGTCAACTTTTGCCTTGTCGTCAACCTCTTGCTGTTCCACATGCACTACGTGCGACTTAGAGAGCGAGTGGTACCGCTGGAGAAACGTCCCCAGCGCGCCGAAAAAGCCCTCGTGATGGAAGAATTGCGCCTGCATCTCCCCCTTGGACCAAAAGCCGATAGCATATGCCAGCTGTCGACACGCCAACTCGTTGTGGCGGAGAAAGTTGCCGGAAAAGTAGATCTGCTTGGTCTCTACGCGACGCGCGTTCAGAAATGCCAGCTGACCCAAGTTTTGCGTGATCATAAAGAGGAGCGAACGCGCCAGATCCGCCGGTCTCGGTGCCTGTGGCAAGCGGCGTGCACCGGCCTTGCCAAAGCTGCTGGCCACTGTATCGGGCTTAAGCTGGAATCGCTCATAACCAGCAGCGCCGTAGATATCCCCGACCGTCATGTCCACAACAGTTGAATCCCCTTCGACACTTGCATCCATCGCTTCGTCAAACGTGCGCAGTTTAGACAGCGCACGACACAGTCCTAGAAACGTGCCACCTCCAAGACTCGTCCCGGAGACACGCTCGTACTCTGATTCACCAGTGACTTTGAGGATACTCACACCCGAGCCAATGTTTACAAGCAGGAACGGGTACAACTCGTGCTTGTTTGGCTTTGGCAATATCGTTTTGGGTGCACTCCCCAGTCCACAAGTGTCCGGAACGACATTCACGAATGTGTAGCACTCGTCTGGAGCGTACCGCAGCACAAAGTTGAGTCCTTGAATCAGCGCATCCATCTCGTCTGCTCGCTGGAGTTCAATACCCAAGCGCGACTCGAACAGCGGAGAAAACTACAGCATTATGAACAATATTAACAACCACCAAATGTACAAGACAAGACACAATCGAAGCAACATATTCTACTTTTGTACCAGAAGGATACAATATCAAAACCCGCAGTACCCACAGATCGCACCTTGAAAGCTCCGCCGCCCGTACACGCAATTTTTTTAATGTACCGATGGAAAAAGTGACAGCGGACAAAGTCGGTCATCTCGTGCATTTTCGCGGTCGGGAAGCTACACTCGCGCAACAATCGCACTTAGTCCAAACACCACCACCACATTCCACCTCGCGCGCAGTCCTCTCAAGAAAAGGGCACACAATCGACACACAACATGTCCACAACCACCACCACCTCCACGCGTACCTAATGAAATGGAGCGTGCCGCCCAACTCGGGCACGAGCATCTGCAGGCGCTCGTCTCGTTGGACGTCGTCGGTTTTGCAGAGACTCATGAGACAGTCGTCAATAAGCGGCAGGCTTCCCTCCACTCGCGTGCGCTCGTTGTCGAGCGTCATGTCGTCCCCTCGCTTCCGTTGGCGCTTCATCTGCTGCCGCTGCGCAGCTGCCGCGCCGTCCACTGACTGGAAATAGACCATTTTGGCCAATGTGCCGCCGATATCGAGCGCAAAGAAGCGGCCGCAGTCGGCCAATTTGTCATTTAGAATGTGCAGATGGAAGCGGCGGAGCTTGCGGCGACGTGCAACGATGAGGCCTGTGATACAAGTCGCGCTTAGGAGGAAGAGACGCGTCCATAGCACGCGGAGGTGCCGACTTGATGGCGCTGCCATCCACGAAAGCGGTAGTCAAGGATCGGCTGGTTCGTGGTGTGGTCGACAACAACTCAAATGTACTGATTTTGTAGAGTTCAGTCTTGTTGCGCTTGCTGGGAAGCTCAGCTGCGAGTGCTCTCGCTGGTCAAAACAGACGAGACGCGTGCAACGGAGTGCAGCATCGATGCATAGACGAGACGACAAACGCGGTAGTGAAGCAGAAAAGACAGCGTGCTTTGGAAGATCCAGCGACGAAGTGAGACGTCAAAGACGCGCGTGGAGACGGGCCAGTCGCTGGAGAGGGAGTTCAGTAGCCGGCTAGGGAGATGGGCGAGGTCGGAGCCGTTTTTATTCTGAATCAGGTCAGTTCATAGTCCGCCCCCTACATTGCGGACGCGACAAGGGCATGAGATGCGTAGCAAGTTGCAACTGAACCCACCACCCTACAAACGTCACTGCATATGATGATCTTTGCAGCTCGCAGCCTGTTTGTGAACCAGACCATGGATGGTCGACCAGGATCTCTGGGTACGCTGTAGCCAGACATGCAGTGTACATCGTCGAGCAATTTTTCGAGATCCCGTGAAAATTCCGTGGTTAGATTGATGTTCTTCCAGCTTATGAAGCGTCTCTTGAACTGATTCTTATGTTCTGTCTCTTGTCCTTGTTTTTGCGGTGTTTCATTACAACAAACGATGATCTCAGAATATCGCAATGATCGTGAACCCACGTACCGACTTTGTGAGATTCTTTCGCCTGCAATCCGGTGGTGGGAAGCGAAGCCTGGAAGTGAAGCAAGCTGTTACCCCCGCGAATTTTTGACCGCAAACAAGCCTGAGAAAGCGGCTGAGATACTCCAAGTATCAAGTTAGCACGGCTGATTGCACTGATACCCACTAGAATCCACGCGGCCGCTCACCCAGTGGCAGGTTGACGTAGTTGAGAAACCGCAAGAGCCGCTGCAGCGTCCACGCCGTTTGAACAGCTGCGGCTACAGTTTCACCAAGAGCTCAATGTCAACTGATCACCGCCATCGGACGGAATGAATGACACACTGAAAAGAAAAGGGCGAAAAAAGACCTTTGTAGATTCAGTTACCAGCTGGACAACCGGCCGGACGCAGGCGAAAGAAGCGAAGGCTTTCGCTCCCGCATGGCTTCAGCTTCATCTTCGATGGCTCGATTCCTAATGTCCTGGCACCTGATGTACTACGCTCATACAGACTGTCACACTTTCATCTCACGTCGAAGCTTCAGACTGTGGAAGCAGGAAGATATCGTTCGGGTGCTCTCATTTCCTCCGCTCGGATGGTCTAGGTCAGAGAAGAATGAGGCTTCTGTTCGCTCGATTGAGAAGGTAATCGATAAACGATCGTCTGGAGTCAGTTGACTCTCGACGCGCACACATCAGATGGCACGACGCCATCGGATATGCATCACGCACTGAAGTAAAGACGGCAACCCCGTGTCGACTGTCTCATCGTGTTTTTATTGCAAGACAATGTAATGGATGACGCAACCTCGTTCTCCATTCTAGTAAAGATACAGCACGACCTCTTAACTGTGTGTATTTGTCGCCTCTAAGTCCCGTTCACCCGGAAGACAAAGAAAGAGGGACCAAACTTTCACCTCATGCTGTCCACCGTTCACACATAAAAGAGTGCGAGCAGCATCCGGAGTTGACAAATGCGTGATAGCACCACTGAGTTATAGCGATGTTTCGTACGTGTCCATGTCAAACAGCGAAACACGTAATCGATGAACGTTCGACAGCCCGGACGTTTCCAACACCAAGCACCTAGCGCAAGGGCGCCTTTGTTTGGAGCTACGGTTGGTAGCACGTCCACAAATTTCCAACTCGTGCGCTGTAAAGTCTTCGATTGTTTATTGCGATGGCACGGCAGAGCTGTCAAGTGAGCAGCTGCTGATGCAGCATCTTTGTTGCTGCAGCCTAATGGTCCTCAAGGCCGCTGCTGCACGCACTGTTTCTACTGTACCGACGTCTACTTCCATCCATGAAAAAAAAATGAGCAGTACCCGGTAAAATGTGGGACAGCAGCTGGCTGTGCCCGCCTCTTCGTCGATCAAATTGCGGTTCTTGTCACACGCTTCTTCAACGTTCGTGTACGGATCTCGATGCTGCACGATTTTCTGCAGTTAAAGCTCATTGCCGCTAGGCATTGCAACAATTTTCTCTCGACTTGAACCTCAGAAGCACGTTACCCCGTTGTCCTGACAGAGACGATGGCGACTCGACTGTCGTAACAGCTGAGCCAAGGCTGATGACCGAACATGTTGATGGTGGAAAACCGGATGACGTCGGTTGCAAGTGGTTGCACCTGATAGAGTTGAGCTCGTTCCGCGATCAGTTTGACGCAATCCGGAGATAAAGCTCCTGTACTGCAAAGCACCATAGCCAGTAAGCCAAACTGCTGGGTTCGCAACTTCGTGCTGGTTAGGTGCCCGTACCGGACGAGCGACGATACGGGCTCAAAGAAGTCGTTCAACAATGTTATAGCCGTAGGGCAAAGGCAGCGGTGGGAAGAAGCGTGCAACGGTTTGCGCTGACGCAATGGATAGAACTAGACTGCGCTAGCGTTCGCATCACCTATCAGGAGGAGTCCATCCTAGTCATCAGTGTATATGCCATGTAGTCCCATGTAGCAGCTGCGGATGACAAGACTGGGCAGAAGATCGAGTGTTGCGATGCGCGAGGTAGCGCACGAGACGTGGAAACACTGCAATCGGTTGTTGCGCGGGCAGTCCGAGTCGATGGGGAGGAGCCGATAGTGCCGACATCAACCTCGTTGACGTGTGCCTGCCTGCCTGCCTGTCCACTATTCATACATGTGTATGCATGTGTAAATCTAACTGCCTACACCCTCTGTCTGACCAAAAAGACAACCAAGCGACATCTGTGAGGCTTCATGTGCATGCAGTGGTACGCCTAAAACGCATCTGAAAAGACGATGAGGCTGTCAATGTCCTGATTAAATAACACTTTACGCCAAGAACGGCCGCAGCTTTACACTACCACGATGACTACTACTCCTACCCTCTCCTTGCTACTTACTACTGCGACCACCGTCTGCTCCTGTCCTCCGAGTGCTACGAGCGAGTCTCAATCACCTCGAGCACTTGACACGCGTCCCTTCGGTCGCTGCACATTGTTGCATCGGTGATGGATGCAGCGGCGCCGCTGTGCGCTACCAAAAGCTTTGCCTCGATTGACGACTCACGAGGAGACAGACGTCGAGGTGGCGAAGCGAGGGACTGCCCAGAGAGAAGAAGGACCTCCCTCTTGTACCCGCTCATGGCACGCAGCGGCAATCGTGACTGCTTCTTCTGCCACCGTCAGCAGCAGACGAGACGTTTTTGCAACGGTCAGGCCAAGAAGCGGCACAACAGCTCCAAATCGTCCGACGGGAGGTCGCCTGCTGGCTCCGCCAAGAGCGAAATGGGTTCAGCCATCTCCATGGCGTCCAGATCCAGAGCACTGGCGACAGTGCCAGGCACGACGTGGCTCTCCCACTTGAGCAGGTCACAGCTGCTGGTGTGGCTGTGGCTGCCTCGGTCTTCGACCTTGATCTTTTTCTTGGGCGAGATCCCGTGCTCCCCGAGCGTCTTGCACTTGCACTTGCCATTGGTGGCCACCTCGTCCAGAGACGTGGGGGAGGCCGCCTCAGTAGCGCTCAACTTGCGTTTGCGAGGCGACAAGGCCAGGCACTGCACCGATCGGGGCGTCTTGAGGCACGGAGGAGCGGCAACGGGCGAAGACGTCGTGGACATGTCAATTGATCGGGCAATAGGTCAATTGGTCAATTGGTCAATTGGTTGGTTGGTTGGCTGGTTGCCAGGAGGCAAATGGAATTGTGACCAAGTGGAACCGGCGCCTCCTCCTCCTCCTACTGCTTCGTCTGCCTCGTCTGCTCCTCTGCTGGTCGTCGGTAGTTGCTCCTGCGTGGGCTCATCGTGGCAAAGAAAGGGACTTGGACAAAGAAAGGCGTCCGCTCCGAGCGAGTCGTCGCCGAGTGGCGCTTCTGGTCGCACGCGTCCTGCCAGATCCACCAGCTCCGCCTGCCTGCAACGCGCGCGAGCGAGCGAGCGACGTTGGACAAATCACGCGCGTGAGGCGGCGACGGCCTGGCTCTGGGCTCTGGTGGCACAAACAGGCCGCGCGCAACGGCTGGCGGCGGCGATCGAAGTGGGCGGAATTGTCACACCGCCGGGGGGTTGGCTGAAACGGAACAGCCGCAGATCGATATCCATACATGCATTCCTTCCTTCCTTCCTTCGTTCCATACATTCGTCCAGTCAAACAGTCGAACATTCATTCATTCACTCACTCACTCCTTCTTGCAGTCGATCGAGCTCGCTGTCCATCTGTCTGGCTGTCTAACTTCTGTGACCCAGACAGACGTTGGCTCTGCAACTCAGACAGACAGACGGGGGGCTGCTGGATTGCGTAGGCCGTTCCACGTCGCGATTCGATTGTCGGCGCCCGGCTCTTGTCCCTCCATCTCTGTCTCGCCCGTCTGACGAGCGGTCGGTCGGTCAGTCGGTCAGTCTGTCGGCATGGATCGATCCCGAATCAAAGACGAGACGTGTGGGCAGACAGGGCGCCCTCGCATGGCACCGTCCCCCTCGACGTGCGACGGACCGACCCAACAGGTGCCACGGTCGACCAAGTGTGTCACGAAAACAGAAGAATGAGGTCTTCCTGCTGCAGATTGGTAGCCACCACAAGGTCTGGTTCGCGATAAGCTTCGGCGAATCCAGAAAGCTCGCACCGACCAGAACAGCGATGCGATTGCACTTGCAGCCGTAGCAGCCGCAGCGATGCGTCGCCCGATCCGCGTGCCTCCTCCCGCCTTATTTATTTCTGGCTGTCGTCCTTCGCTGCTGCATCTCGCGCGAACGTAGTCTCGACGTCTGCCTCTTCTTCGACTCTGCAAATATTGAGCCGATAATGCACGGACCGCTGTGCTGCACAGCAGTGGTTGTTGCTTCCATGCAAGCGGTCTCAGAGTCACGACGCCGTTGTCGCAGAAGAAAAAAAACGACCGCACGTCGACTGAGTTTTAGTTCTTTTCTCGCTCAGATGTCGATGCTGATGACACAAAGTCCGCTAGTACAACGTGCTGCGCTCGAGTACTGGCAACACAGCCATGATCGGTCGCAGCTGGCTGCAGGGCGCATGCAACCGGATTGCTACCTGCCTGCGGCTGGGTCTGTCAAGTGGGCGGCAAATTTTCCGCGGCGATCTTACCCGCCCGCCAGCTCTCGGCGTAACGACGAAGACTCTCATCGAAGAAGCCATGTGTGTCGAGAGACGAGACGCGACTGGGCGGATCACGGTAAACCGCGAGTAACATGTAACAGCGCACGCGTAATCGCGGCAGCCTTTCTGCCGAGATCACCTTGGCAGAAGCGCCACGATGTTTTTGGTCGTTCGGTATCTAGAGGAGGCAAAACGGCGATCACCGGTCGTGCCATCATTTGAATGATTCCAACTACTGGAGCACAACAGCCGCGACATCGAGAGCGTGTCAGTGGGTACGCACTGTTTCCCGCCAGATACCGAACGGGGTTCCTGGCGACTTGGTCGACGGTAACTCCTTCCTGTTGCACCGATGCTATCCAGGGCGATACTGGCGAGTATCGCGAATACACGGTGAGTGACGGGCTGTGCTGTAGCGTGCGTGGACTGCAAAGCGCTTACAAGGCCGTGGACGACGGCGACTGAGTGATGAGAAGTAACGGTGTTGTTGTACCTGCAAATAGATCTTTCGATGCGAGAGGTGGTCGTCGTGGACAACTGCGGCGGGGATCTACACGAGCAACTACCAGTTTGGGAAGAAACGTGTGGATTAGTATCAATCGACGCTCGTCGACTTTCGGTTTCAGCTGTACGGCGGGGAAGGTACGGAGGAGCGAGACAGCACACTTTGGGCGAGAATTGCTGGCCGTAGATGCTGCTGTGGATACGTGGTCGTGCTGGAATGACCTGGTAGATCCCCTGAAGATGCAGCAGCGGACGAACGCGTCCAGCAATCAGCAAACGGGAGCGGGAATGGTTGCGTAGTCGACGAGTCTTTCCCTCTCTCTCTCTCTCTCTCCTTTGCTCTCTCTCCTTTGCTCTCAACACAGTGTTTCAATGACCGCCACTGGATCTGCTGTACCAAGCAGTCAGCTGTAAACGAGCACAGTGCCGACGATACGCGTGGGGATGCAGTGGACAGCTCTTTGCTACGCCAGCAAAGAACGGACCGATTGCGTGCGTTCACAATTAGGCGTCCGCTCGCTTCTGTGCGGAGTAAGCGCTTCGGTTGTGCAGTCGGTTCCGTGTATCGAGAAACCCGTGCACGCTTCCCAGTTTCCCGAAACCAGCTCGAGATCAGCGCGTTCCCCAATCCGCAGAGTCGTAGCGTGGACACAGAGGACACGAGATCCGAGGCGACGGTGATGGAGAGGGATGGGACGGCGCACACGAAAAGGCCAGTCGAAGAAGCGAGGCGCTTCGAAGGCGAAGAGATCATTGAGAGGTAGTGAACGAGACCGCTTTGGTGTCTACCGCCAGCAGTGCATCGAGTCCGCCTCGTCTTTTCATCACGATTGATCATCAGTCACCTCGCGCCTTTACGAGCTTCAGCTTCTGGACGCTGCTGCTCGATGCACAACTATGTCGGCTGAAAACGCTCTTGACAGCTGCCGTCGGCTGTTTCCTGCTGCAAGTCGTTCGACGAAGTCTGATCCACGGATGCTCGTGGGTTTGCGTCAAGCATACGATGGGAGCACAGCAGTGCGATAATCAGAGTGGTCAAGTGACATTCACCTCGTCGCACACATTACCTACGTGCTTGTGCACTCGTTAGTGCTGCCTTTCGACAATGCACATGTCCCACATGTCCGTATCGCTCATTGTTTATTGCCGCAGCAAGCACGTGCAATGCGACGTGGTTGTCATTCCTGCAGGGGCTTGGCACTTCTCGTGAGATTATCGAGCTGGTCGCTCGCATCTCTTCTCTCTCTTTTTCGTTGCTACGAAGTGGAAAACCCATGCGCTGAAGCTTTTTCTTCGTCTTCGTGAAAACCGCGTCGTCCTGCTCTTAGCTGTACAGAGTTTGTTAGTTTTCTGTCGCCTCGTCCTAGCGTCAATCTATCTGCTAACCATGTCAACAGATCGCAATAGGTAGATAAATCCCGATTGAGATAGGAGTGAGTGAGAAGGTGAAGTACAGTCAAGTACGCTAGCGATCTGCTATATCCAGTATGGTAGTGATCAAAATGACCACACATACATCAAAGTTGTGATTTTAGGCTATTCGTGCTCTGTAACGGGGCACCCTTTGTCTGGGTGCCACGAAACTTCACGTACACTAGTACGTGCAGAGGAAGCTAATCAACTCGACGACTAAGGTAAGTAAAGGGTAAAAGAGAATTGTATTCAATATAGTTAAGCTATCAAAATAACAGTAATCTTTATCTAACTATATTAAATTACGCCGTTGTATGACGACAACCTGCTCACCACTCATTGCGCGCGTCTAGCAGCGATTGGTGGTAATCTACATTTGATATGTCTTTTATCAACCAATCTTGGAGCAGCACATAAATTTTATCCAAAAGGGGATAATGTGTCCCTTCAATAGTATCCATCTCGGATAATATTGGTAGGAAATTGTCATGCTAGACAATTATCCTATTGACACCGTTTGGTGTCAATATCATGAAACGGGCTACCCCGTTGCATCTCCCTCCCCCTTTAACCATCAATCACCCCTTGATCGAATACAAATTGATTGGGACAGGGTGACCACCGTTGGATCCCTCTGGGAAAGGGAGCACTTGTTGGTCAAAATTCCATTCATTTGCCAATTCAACGCATGATTTCGAAATCCAAGCGAGTTGCTACTGTAGCATCAAGAAAGGCGGCTGCACGCATGCGTGCAGCCGGAGAGAGTACTTCTCACACCTCAGCAGCAGGTGATACATCGCCTGTGGCTGTGAACAGTCTACGTGGTGAGTCACCACGTGCGACAGGTACGTCCGTTGCGTCTGCAGCGGGTACCACGAATCGTAAACAAGACGAGTCTGAGATAGAGCTCATCTATTCTGGCAAGTCGGATGATGTATACGACTCAAAGGCGACACCTCACGCCTCCGGATCACCCGGGGCGGACACTGCAAGAGCCAGGTTGACAGGCTCTGGTCAACGTGGCGGCATCATGCTCGAGGTCTTCGGATCGAGTGGTTATTCCGACGAATCCTCGCCTCACGCGAGTCCATCCAACGTTTGGACGCGTGGGAATGGTGGTGGTGCACCTATCCATCACCACGAGCGAAGTAACTCGAGGGATCGGGGTATCACTGGTGCCAGTGCTCGTGCTGGCACCAATCAAGAGGCTTGGGACCGAAATGTCCTGCGCCACGCTCCCCAAGTAGAGTCTCCGTGGATGCCGTCATCCAAAGAGTTAGATCGAGTGGCCGGCATGACTAATGATCGAGATCGAATCCCGTTATTCATTGTAGGAAGATTTGCCCACCTGATTCCAGCACGGAACTATTCGTGCTGAGGAAGAATTCTTCACCGATGCGTTTTTCAAACATCGATGGTACAATAACAGCCGTGTTCGAGACTGAAAGGCCTTGGTGCAAGGATGAAATGCCCTCATCCATAACATCGAGTGCATTGGCCGTGAGGCTTGGCTCGCCAAACTTGATGCAGCTCGCATCAGGTTTGAGAAACGCAACCCAGTCGGGGCGCGATACAAGTTGCACCGGCTGTCAAGAGAGGCAGCTTACCCTGTCTTTCGTGGGGTGATTCGTGTCCAGGTTGCCTGGACAACTCGAACCGTGCCCCTAGGGAGGCCTACCTCCCTATTGATCCCTACCGGAGGGCGCGCATCTCTTCTGAGATGGCCGAAGGGATTGACACTTTGCAATCCCTGTACTCACGTTCGGGAAGGTCGTTTTTCGACGGCCCTTCTTCGAACGCAGCGGGTGGGTCTCGTCATACTGCTCGACGAGATCCAGGACATCAACAATAAGCTGGGCACGAGGCTCCCAGCTGTCCCACGCCGGTGGATAGCCACGCCAGCGGAAGAGGTAGCTCGTCTGGACGTCATTCACGTCGCGGTGGTTCAAAATACGCTCCACTAGAAGGCGTTGACCACCGCTTGAGTCCACCAAAGGATGTGGTGGCGGTGGGAACACCTGATCCGGCTCGAGGGTCGGATCAACTTGATGTTCAAGAGATGAACCGTCTAACGGAACAGTTGCAAGATGACCTGGCTCAAGAACGATCTCGGAGTTATGGGCTTGAGGATCTTGTAAAGGATAATTACAATTCCTTAGCGCACGATCGTTCGGACGATCATGCCGCGTTTGCGTTCGCGCAACTTGAAAACAAACGTTCTGATCGTTCTCTTCGTGACGGTCTGGCTGCAGCTCGTCGAGACATCGCTCAACTGCGTGAACAGATCGCTTCGCTAGTCGACCAGACGGGTCGTTAAAACGGGACCACTCAAGGGTGGTCCCGTTCTTGACCGCGGAGGTGTTCTTCGCATCTCGAAACGGGCTCGTACTGATAGTACGGGCGGAGACGACCGACATAAAACGTAGGATGCGTACGCATCTTACGGGGCAGTTCAATCGTGTACGCATTGCCCATTCGGCGCAACACACGAAATGCACCGATGTAACTGGGCAGTAATTTACTGCTGCCCACGTTTGTCACTGCGTGCTTCGGTAAGTTTACTGTAGACAGTAAAACTAAATCTCTTTCATTTAATGAAAGAACATTTGCTCTTCCATTTTTTTCTTCGTTTCTTTTCTGTCTGTATAGTGCATCTGCAATCAAGTCTTGAACGAAGCGGACAACCGCTTCGCGAGTCAGAAGAAATTCTTCTGCTGGCTCATCCTTGTCAACAGCAGTGCGCTTCGTGTGCACTGCTGAAAGAATGTTGCCTTCACCGGTGAGGGCGTCATCGTCCTCACTGTGGCAGTCATTGGCGATGCTGAATTTGCCAGCATCTTCGTCATGATCGTCATCGGTGTCGATATGATCGACATCGGCATCCATCACGTCGGCACCATTGTCGACGGGTGATAATCAAGAACCAGATCGGTTTTTGTTTCGAGAGACTCCCCCCTTAAGCTAGAGGCACACTATAAGAAGGCGGGCAAACGTGGATGGAGTAGGCCATTTACGAAGAACGGTGTATGCAAAGTAGACGCATGCACCGAGTTATTAATGGTGAATTCCGCCATCGGCAAGAACTCACTCCAACTCGTAAACGAATAAACCTACCCTCGAAGTATCTCTTCGAGGACGCGGTTGACGCGTCCGGTCTGACCATCTGTTTCTGGATGGTCAGAAGTTGATATCGTCAATCGTGTCTTAAGTGGAAAGAACACGGATTGCCAGAACTTCGCTGTGAAGTGGGGGTCCCTATCGGACACGAGTTCACGGGGTAACCCGTTAAGTCGGAAGATAGTATCGATGAAGACACGAGAACAGTCCTGGGCTGTGATTGACTCCGGTACAGCAACAAGATGTACCATCTTGCTGAACCGATCAACTAACACAAGAATACCAGTATTCTTGTGAACGTCTTTGGGAAACTCGAAGACGAAGTCCATCGATACGGACTGCCAACACTCTGCCGGAATCGGAAGAGGCTGTAAGGATGCACGGGATGAAGTACTAGGCTTCACCCGTTGGTAAAATTCGCAAGCGAGAATGTATTTACGCACAAACTCATACCGGCGGTGCCAGTAGAAGGCACGACTCACCGTGAGGTAAGTCTTTTCCCTACCGCTATGCCCACTTGTCGGGGCATCGTGACACTCATACAAGAAGCGCAATCGCAAATCATTATAAGGCGGAACGATGACACGAGGTGTGTCGCCGTTGACTGCTGTATAGTACAGCTGTCCATCACGAACAGAATACCGTTCGGTTGAAGAGCGGTATTTAGACGACAAGCTTTTCAAAACTTGATTACACGGATTGGATACGTAATCCATCAATCGCAGAAGAGACTCGTCTTCTGTGTTTGCTTTTCGCACGTCATCGAGCAGATTCGACGATGGAACAGTCACTGTTAGTGTCGTGACAGTGGGATCACCCCAACTGATGGGTTGAGCACTCGGCTCAAAATCGGGCCGACGCAAAAGAGCATCAGCGACGACATTAAGTCGTCATGGTTTACACTCGACGGAGAAGTTGTACTCCACGAAGAAAGACAGCCACATCGCCATTCGTTGCGAGAGGTGTGGACTGTTTACGGCCGCGCGTAACAACGCATGGTCGGTAAAAACGATGAAGGGCCTATCTCCTAAGAGATATACCCGAAACTTAGCCAGTGCATATTTCATGGCAAAGGGTTCCTTGTCATGTACCGGGTAATTGCGCCCGGCTGCTTGCTCCTGACGCGATTGAAAACAGGCGGTGCGCTCAACGCCGTCTGAGTCGTACTGCATTAACGCGCAGCCGATTGCAAAATTCTGGCTTTATAGACCACATGAAATGGTCTTTCCTGATCTGCAATCGCCAACACAGGCGATTGCACCAAGCTTTTCTTGATGCCTTCGAAAGAGTGCTGACACTCAGCGCTCCATGACCACCTCTCGTTTTTCTTTAGTAGACGAGAGAGATGTACAGTCATCTCGGCATAGTTGCGCGATTATTTGTGCAAGTACTCCGCCAAGCCAAGTAACTTTCGAAGTTCCTTGACGTCGACTGACACAGGCCAGTCGCTAATCGCCTTGATCTTTTCCGGATCAGGGCGTACGCCGTTTTTACCCACGATGCAGCCAAGAAGTGGTATTTCGGTCGCCCGAAGTTACAAAGTCATTTTGCCGAGTTCCTTCAATATAGTTCTCTCAGCGAATATACACTTCTTGAGGTTCGCGAACAACTTATGCTCTCGCATTAGAGTAAGAACCTTCCGGACGTGGATTTTATGAACCTCCACGTCCGTCTTTCGATCCATAGCCCGGCTATGGACGAAGACATCGTCGAAGTAACTCGGTGCGAAGTCGCGCACCGATCGCAACAGATTCATAACACATCTGTTAAACGTTACGGGGGCGTTACTTAGCCCCTGTGGTATTACTAGCCACTCCCAGAGCATACCACTGGGGGTGATCACTGCTGTGTAAGGGATATCCCGTTCACACATGAGGATATGATAGAATCTATCCATCAGATCCATGGATGGAAAGATGGTACTTTTTGCTAAACCATCTATGATGACATCCTTTCTAAAGATCGGCGTTTGAGCCGGTACCGTTGCAGCATTCAATTTGTTGAACGCGTGCACTATACGCCACCCTCCTGTGGCCTTTCGCACACAGAAGGTCGGAGTGCTGTGTGGGGATGTTGATTCCCTCACATGACCAGCCGCTAAACGATCGACAAAGCATTTGTCGATCGCTGTGACCTGTTCACGAGGCAGTGGCCACTGCTTCATGACACAGTATTTCGAATTAGGTTTTAGTTCGATCTCATGTCGAGTGTCTTTGTCCTTGGGCAGCTCGCATGGCACGTATTCGGGGGAAACATCCCTAAATTTCACCAAATCATAATGCAAAGAATATTTCTTCAAATACTTTCAAGATTGAGACGTGTACCGCTCAATCCGGGTCTTCTCATCGAGGACACTCTCGTCCATCGATGTCAGCAAAAACTAGTGCCGACTGAATATTAACGACGTACTCTTCCTCTGTGACGAGTACGCAGATCTGCTTGATCTTGTCACTACGCAGGTATCGCAAGAATCTTTTGGATTCTAGCGTTGGCAACTTGACCACCTCCGAAGCTGACTTCGGAGGTGTAACCAGATCAAGCGTATAAGCGCCTACACTTGATCCTTCATTCATCAAGACATTCACTGTCTCGGTGATTTCTTGGGAAAACACATCCGCAGGCATTGGGGATCCACACCCTCAACATAGCTCTCTCGGGAGAAATTGCTCTCAGGAACGCTGGAACTTTCTTCCAATAAGTGTACTGACTGTGAGTGTACTACCACAGTCACGTCCTCTTCTATCGACTCTCTTTCAGTCGAGCGGGCTTGTTCTACGATCGACTCTCTGATAGTCGATCTCGCTTCAAGTGTTGTTCATCCTGAACAACACTGATCTCTTTTTGGATGCACCCTTCGCTGTGTGCATCCGTGTTCCAGTCCACTCGATCTGTTCGAGTGGTGAACCTTCGGCTCAGCCTTTGTCTCTACACAGGTGTCGGAAGCTGGTTCCACAGTGAAGTTGCCTTATACACTGTGATCTTGTGCAGTCGTACTAACGACCGTACCACAAGTGAGGCCATCACAATTACTCGTAGTACATCCACACGCTTGTGGAAGCTCCAAGACGTTCATCAGATGGCCATCTGATGAACAAACGGCGTATCTTCACGGATCTATGCTACCAGCTGATCCATGGCTGGTATTTTCTAAGTCATGGCAGACAGAGGATGACATCAAATTTGCTATCAAAATCTAGTGCGATGAAGTCATCGTCGTACTGCTACCTTCTAGCGTTTAGTGGATACCCACTACACGTTTGTTCACTGTTACGGATGCGCCTGTAGCAAGGCACACCGTCATCCTCGTTGGAGGGAACTTTCGCTCAACATAGTTGAGCCTACTATCCCCTAGCGACTGGCGTCGAATAAAACTGTTTGGCTCCACACAGTCAACTAGGGCGCGAAGTGACATTCCACTTGTCACTTCGATCTTCAAAGTGATGAGAGACTCCTCATCACTAAGGGCAGTAACACAGAGACTGTGTGCTGGGAGCAATTTTCGTCAATAGTCCTGCAAATTCTCTTGACGTTGATGGGTCAGCAGGGTGCTCCGCTCTTACTGACCCTGACCAATTTTGACGGTCCGACTTGCTGTCACGGCTTAGCAACATGGTCGGACCCACGCCTTGGACCTTTTCTTGGCCAACGGCGGTCATCATGTCCTGTCTTTGGACGCGTTGCAGTGCTCGGGACACTGCACTCATGAGCGTAGTGTCCAATCTTCTGACAGCGGTGGCATCTTGCCGTTCGCTTGTGACTCAGAGAGCGAGAGTTCTCGATCTAGATGTAACAGAGGTCCATTTGGTTCGGGATCTCCTGTTTCCTGTCGTCTTGTCGGACGATAGCTGGACGAGTTAGCCTGAGACTGTCTCAGGCTGAAGTCTTCTTGTTTCGCATACGCTATCGCCTTTTCTAGCGTATGGAAGTCCTCTCGGAACACGTAGGTCTTCACCGGTCCATCCACAAGGCCGTAGATGAACACGTTGATCAGCGTGTGCTCATCAACAGGGTCTTCGTAACGCTACTTGCAAGGTAGCGCAGGTGCTGTGCCGAAGCGTGCACGTCACGCTTACCTTGCTTTAGCCTCAAGAGTGCAGAGCGTGCTCTGAACTCGGCTCTCGGCGACTCAAACGTCTCTCTAAGCCGAGACTTCAGGATCTCCAACGACTCAAACACGTTTGGGTCATGAATCTTGAGCCCTAAGGCTCAAGTCTTTGCTCGTCCCGTCAAATTCAACAGGGCGAAGGTGGCTTATATCTCGTCACCCTCGATGTGACGGGCCCTGATGGCGTCGTCTAAC